GGAGCCGGCTCCCAACCTCCTGGAGCCGGCTCTTTCCCTCCTTGAGAGCACTGATCCACCTCTGCGCCGTTTCTGACCATCTGTTTCGTCTCCGGTCTCTTCCTACCCTTTTGTTCTTCCTTAAAATTGATCTTAATAATCTAATATATATCCAGTACCATCCCAGTACTTAGTTTACAACAGTAAGAACTAATACAAAGATTAAAACAACACCAATTTGTTATACCTTAAGAACAAACGATAAACTTCCAAACTTGCAAGAATTATTTCACACAAACATTAAACATATACAGATGATCACTTTGACATATAATACGCATGCAAAAACTCAATTAATATTTAATTAAAATCCTAAAGACCATCTAGGTATGCACAGAACATAGGCCAAGGGTAGAAAGATATAATAGAACTTGCCTGTGTGGTTTTGAATCAAAACCTCGTCGCCGTCTTCCTAAGCTTTCCGACGATGTCCGTTCATCGTCAACCTCCTACTGTTCAACCTTCCCTCCTCCTAGGTCCGTCCTTTAATCCATAGTCGAAACCCTCATTGTAATCTCTTTGTTTTCCTCACAACTCTCTATTACGATTCTCTGCCTCCGCTGTGCCGTGAATAGGGTTCTAAAACCCTATGCAGACATATTACAAATATTTATAGGCAAATCTAATTTGTAACCTAAACCTATTTACCTAAGGAAAACAAAGGAAAAATTATATATACCAACTATATGTATGCAAGTCGGCAACCTAGAATCCCGAGTTGTTATAAATATAAATAAAACTCTAGAATTATTTTATACCTTAAATGATAACTTAAATGACAAATTCAATTATTAATAAGTAATAATAACTAAATTAATCCACATATACACATATATACATGTATATCCATCTATGGGTAAAGCTATACCCGTTTACATGATCCAAAAAGTCCATTGATCCTATCCATGTCCATACTCTGTTTAAAACTAAAAAGAATACATTTAATTTAACATTTAATTACCACATAAGCATATACTTCAATTAAAATAAATAAATCAATTAAACAATTAAAAAATTAACCAACGGCCAAGTAAACAAATACAGAATTTAAAACATATACATGAACCCATATAAGCACACACTTTAAAATTAAACAAAATTAGACAATTAATTTATTTAAACAATTAACAAGAAACCACATAACCACATAGCCACGTACACAACTAAAACTCACAAGAAAATAAATTTAAATTTCCATTTATACCCTTTTGAACACTAGGGGTATTACAAGGGGCGTCATAGAACCACTGCGGGAGAAGAGATAGAGGTTCTGGCTGACTCACCCTCTGGAATGGTTACCTGAGGTGAAGGGAGGAAGGTGATAACCTTGTAAGTCCGGGCCTTCTGGGCTGGAGGAAAGACACTCTGGTCAAAGCCATCCTCTCGCTGAGGTCTTTTGTCCAAGCTCTTCTCCGAAACATTAGGTCGGGCAAAGGAAAATCCCTCGGTATTCTAAGAAGATCCCTCAGCGTTCTGAGCAACAGGCGAAGAAGTTTCGTTCGGAGTTTTAGAGGCGGCTGGGGTAATTACAGGAACAGCTGCAGAAGGGTTTCTTCTTCTACTGAACGAAGGGATCTGAATATGTTCCATAGTGGCACCAAGAACGGATATGTCAGAAAGGTTGTCCGGAGTGAGCAGGTCTGTGGCCGAGGGGATGTCGTTCAGAACTTTCTCCTCCAGAAGATTAATTCTAGCCCTGCAAACGCTGTAAACCAATTTATCATGAGGAATGCGAAGGCAACCACAAAAAAAAAAAAAAAAAAAAAAAAAAAAAAAAAAAAAAAAAAAGTGCAAAAATGGGGAAGGCAAATTTCACAGCGGCAATCGGTCGGATGTTTCTTGTATTTCTTATATAGATGGACAAAACACTCTCCGAAAATGGTTAGGATAGGGAAAGTCTAAGTGAAAGGAGTTCTCCAATTTCCACTGACTCCAATTAAAATTTTCCTCCAACCCTTTTCAGATGAGAGTTTGTCCGTACAAATAGATTGTTTCTCAATGAGAAAGAAGTGAAAATACATGTCGTTGGTTCTGATTTTAGTAACTCGGTAGCAGAGAAGAAGATCTATGATATCTAAATCTAGACCCCTATCATGATTCAAAATCAAGAGAACTGATATTACCCTAAGGAAGTTGGGTTAACCTGAAAAGGGGAAAGCCCTAATTTGCTGAGGGCATAACAAAAGAATGGGTGTAAAGGAAATCTAATTACATTCAAGTGAAGAACAGAAAAGAGGACCTCCACTAGAAGAAGACCTTCACCAGATCTCTCATCCAAGTCCTCGGGATAAACCCTAAAGGAGACATCGTTAGGGATTTTATTCCTCGAATAAAGAACCTTTAAGTCAGGAGCCATAATAATGGCAGAAAAGATTCTTAATTTCGGATTTTCTTTCTTTTAGGGAAAACTGTAAAGAATAAAGTTCTCGAAAAGTAACAGGGAAGTGAAACTAACCTTAGAAAGAGGATTTGCAGAGTACACCGCAGCGAAATGAGAGACGAAGAATTACAAAGGAAGAACTCACCGGAGATGATAAATAGAACTCACCGGCGAAGACTGGTTATTGGCAAAGGCGATTAAGGGAGACGATGCTTGAAGGCGAAGATGATGAAGGCATAGTAAGGATAAAAGCTTGGAGCTTTGGGTTTTAAAGAGGAAGTGGCTCGATATCCCAAAGAACCATGGCAATGATGATACTTCAAGTCTCGAAATGTGGGTCTCTAAGCCAACTATTCGCTTCCCCACATCATTACCTCGAGCAGCCTCATTATGATTAAGTCCTTTCAATAATCTCACCCTAATTAATTAAGGAGAGATTATGGGGGCAGATGAGGATACCAAAAGTAACCTGGGCCCGGCACGACCCAAATTACTGGAAACAGGTCTGGAAAGAACACTTTGCTTAATCGAACCATCACTTATTGGGCCCAAGGCCGGAAGATCAGTCTGGAAACCCAATCTTAAAGCAAAGGAAATGAGCCTATTTCCGAAATGAGCCCAAAGGATCAAGCCTAGCGTGAGGAGTTAGTTAGGAAGTTTCTAGAATGTTTGTAACAGTATATAAAATAGACTGAAAAGAGAGAGAAAAGGGGTTGAAAATCTTCTTGAAGTGTAAAACTGTTCCGTCCAAATTGTGAGAAGATTTTTCTGACATCTTCATTATCTTCTTTTAATTCGGTTTCTAGAGAATAACTCATGTAAAATTGTCTTTCCTACATTTTTCTTTTATTTTTTATATTCTTAAGATAGAAAATTATCCTCAAAAAAATTGAACCAACCATTTCTATTTCTCACTTTTCAAAATCTACCTCAACTATTTTCTATGCATTCTATATATGAAAATTATTCTTTTTTTCACTCAATTCTATGACTGAATGATTGGCGGCGGGAGCTAAAGAAAAAGAAAGATGTAGATGAATATGTGAGTGAGATACTCAGATAGAAACAAAGAGAGGAAAAAATAGATCTATCGGTTTAACCTTAAAAATTGTTATGCTCCATGTTTTGTATCTTTTAAAACTTAAAATAGGTGTCAACCTCTTATTGTTACTGGGACACGTTAATATACTGAACACAATTTGGCCGGATACAACAGGATTGTAGTATTATCCTTATAATAAATTAAGAATGAAGAAGGTGGTGGATCTTTTACGATAAAAGCTACTTTCTTTATTTTATGGGATCTTAAATAACTAATTATATATAAAAATTAATTCCTAAACAAACTATAAGACCCTATTAATCCAAAAGTCGCAAGTCTTTTTCACATAAGAATCCTAAGGAAGTCCACTTACTTACTGATTATTTCTTCCAACACGTGGTCCTTTTATGTATATCTCTTCTTTACTCGAAAGAATCGTTAATGTATATCCAAAAAAATGATTTTGTCTTTATCCCTTGATCAAATTATCCTTTTTACCTTGGTTCACAATTGAGAACAACAATATATAATTTCCTTCCCATGTGAAAAATTACTGATGATGGCTGCCACGTCATCACAAAATAACTCCAATTATTCCCCACGTTTCAGGTCGATATAAGATTTCATATTCAATTTCCTTGGGTTAGTTTGGTCAGGGCCAACTAGCTAGAAAGAAATTATTTGGTAGTTTAGTTAGCGTTAAAGGGAAAATTTTTAAGAAAGTAATATTTCCGTTGATTTTTCTTAATATATTTTCTCTATAAAACAATTGAAAATTTTAATTTCGCGTGAAAGTTGTATCTAGTTTCCAATTATACCCTCGGTAGTTGTTTCTCTTCCTTCTCTTTAGACTTAGGAGTGACTTCTTTTTGATAAATTAAAACTTCTACTTATATTACAACTTTCTAACTCTTTAAATTAGGACTCCTAATTAAGTTACAATTTTCTGACTCTTTAAATTAGTACTCTTTAAATTAGTACTCTCTCTCTATATGCACGCACATATATTTTTATTCATAAAACAATTATTTATATTTTTTATTATCCTTGTTACATGATGTATTTTACTTAATATTGAATTCATGAGAATAATTTTGGTATATAAATTATTTTCTTTTCACTTTTTTGCTAACCAAACTAATGAAACAACATTTTTTACAAATTTTTTACAAAAAAATCATGCTAACCAAATGCACGATAGAAACACAGTTTTCTTTTTTTTTATTTCACTTTCTTTTCCTTTCACTTTCCATCATCAATTTCCAGTTAACCAAACGAACCCTTACTGTTCTTGGAAAAAAGATTAGACATTACTCCTTATCTTCTATGTTCTCGGAATGAGAATTATACCGAGAACTCAGAGATATGCATCAAATTTTATTTCAGAATAAACAACACCTAATTTGATTAGGTCATGTAATTTTATCTTAAAGTATTTTTCATAAAATTAAAATTTTAAAATGAGAAATCTGATAATCTCTGTATTCTAAGCTATTTTTCACGCCCAAAATCTGCAAATTTAAAGAACACTACATAACATAAGAGAAAGTAATAGTATTTGATAAAAAGTAAACAATATTGTCCAAACTATCCATTTTGGACTTAACATCTCTCCTGAACATAGCATCAAAACAAACTTCCGAAAAACAAACATAACATCAAAACTTCCTGGACTGTAAAATCTATGAGATGATAACACAACAAATCAAAAAAAAAAAAATGGAAACTAAAAGCAACAATGGCGGAGGATGCAAAGCAGGGTCAGATTATCAAGCAAAGATCTTTATGCCAGAACGAGATTGACACCGAACGAGATCGTGCAAATCATAAGCCCCAACAATGCCAAAAACCCGTATTTCCTGAAAGCAAAAAGATACAAACAAAATTAACAAACACAGAGAGACATCGAAATATATGTATAAATTATGTCACTTTACATTCTCGTGTTTGAAAAATAAGAATGCTCATTCTTGTCACATATAATTTGGCGGTTAACCATGATTTTATGTAAACATCAACAATTTGAACTTTTAAAATACCAATTGTACCATTGTAATGCAGGTAAAGGCATTTTAAAGTCAAACTGAAAATTGCATTCCGACTTAAATTGCATACCCATCAATGGCCTATGGCAAATATAAGAGGGAAGGTGAGTGTAATTTTTCATTCACAAGGAGTGTTCCCTTACGTCATAATAAGCAGCAAGGAAGCTAAGTGTAACGAGTAATTCTATACAAGCAAAACGTTTAGACGGACTAAACAATGCAATGCGACTAAAAGATGATCGGTAAGTATCTAGAGTTCCATATGATTTTCAATGCCCATTACTTTCTTTAGACCGACTAAACAATGTCACTAGTAATGTCACTAGTAAATAACTATAGACATCTTTGGGTGAGGTCTTCTAGATTTCTTTTTGTTCTTTAAGGTGAGTTCTAGTGTTCAACCTCTGCTAGGGTAATATTGAAATGTGTGAGTGTTTTGCTTGAACTTTCGAAAAAGAGAGAAATTTCAAATTTTAGACTGACTAAACAATGTCACTAGTAAATAACTATAGGCATCTTTTGGTGAGATCTACTAGGTTTCTTTTTGTTCTTTCCGGCCGAATTCAGTCCAAGTCGATACACACAATTCAGTTTAAAGACAATTTTCCTACACATAGATGTAGTGAGTGTTCGAGCTCTGCTAGGACAATATTGTGAGTGTGCATGTGTTTGCTTGCATTCGGAAAAATAAACATACCCAAGGTTAAGACGATTTCTGGGATCACCAGAGGCGTAGCCGGTGAAATAGAAATAGCGGCCGACGATGTAGAAGGCCCCAAGAGAAGCGCAGATCAGGGGATGCTTAATTCCTCCCAAAATCATGAGCATGAAGAACATGGGCAACATTTCCAGCGAGTTCTGATGTCCTCTCTGCAACCACCAATACAATTACACTTTTAATCCATCATATTACACATGCATTTATTGATTATATATATATATATATGAACATAAAGAAGCAGACCTGAACACAGTTGAAGAGCTTGGCATCCTTGTTTTCAGATTCCAGAGCATAGAGGGTGGGATAGTTCACCTTGTACCTATCAATACATTCAATCAAATACAGTTCTCATCAAATTACTGCAAATGAAAAAGAAATTGACAAAAGGGTTTCATCAATTACCCATCTGATTTGATGCAAAGAATAATAAATCCCCAAACACTATAATATATATAGATATATATATATATATAGCTTAGAGTGTGGGATAGCACACTTTTTTCCTAAAATTAACAAAAGGATTTATTCAATTACTCATCTGATTCGAGAAAAACATAAGAAATCCCCCCCACCCCGCCCCCAAAAAAAAAAGTGCGCACACACATATATGTATATAACATACATATATAGATTAGATAGGTTAGCACACCTTGTTCCCAAAATTACCAAAAGGGTTTCTTCAATAACTCATCTGATTTGAGAAAAAAACATACTAACAAATTCCAAAAAGCATACATACACATATAATAGACACATATATTACTCATAAAACACACAAAAATGTATACATATATAAGCTTAGAGAGTGGGATAGCACACTCTGTACCCAAAATTACCAAAAGGGTTTCTTCAATTACTCATCTAATTTGAGAAAAACATAAGAAATTCCCCCAAATAAATAAATAAATTACATATATATATAAACACACACACATATATCTTACTCATATACGTATACATATGTAGGTATATAATGTGTGTGTATACATATATAACACATATATAGCTTAGAAAGTGGGATAGCACCCAAAATTAAGGGTTTCATCAATTACTCATCTGACTTGAGAAATAAAAATAAAAAAAAACACACACACACACACACAGTCTGAGAGAGAGAGAGATTGTAATACTTTTTGCGGGCTTGGCCGACTTGAAAAGCCATCCAGAAATTGAAGAAGCAGTAGAGAACGAGAACAAGGGCTACGAATCCGTATTCTTTGGGCAGCAACTCGATTCCGGCCATTTTTCCGATTCCGATCGACTCTTGAAGCTAAGAAGAAGATAGTGAATAAGATTGATTTGTGAGAGAGACTTTGATGTGGTGTGCGATGAGTTTGTTCAAGTTCTGTTTTGATTTGCTCTGTTTATACACCATTTCATTTTCTAACTTCTTTCTTCTGCCTTTTTCCCCAAGGCGGGGTTTGACTTGGTCAATTTTATGGGCTCACGTTCATTGTCCTCAGCGACTGCCATATACATAATACTATTACTATATTGATTCTTTCAAAACTCTATTAAACTCCCATTTGCATTATGACGTAAATTTGAGTAAAAATTATTTAATTTTACATAATTTATAAGACTTTTTACCTTACATATCTGGAAGTCAATGCTTTCACAACTACCCTACTAGTCAATGCTTTCACAACTACCCTACCCTCATACCCTACATTTCTTTAATTACTTTGTTCTGAATCACATGTTAATGAATTTTATTAATTTAAATTTCCTGCTACACTGACCTAATTAGCAGAGTTTCCTGCTACCCAAACCAGTATTCGGTTTTTCATGGGAACTAAAATAATTCAACACTTGAATTCAACCGATCCAAGTCCCAATAATAGCTTAAGCTGTTTTCCATGGGAAATAAAATAATTGCACACTTCAATTCAACCAATTCAAGTCCCCATAATAGCTTAAACTATTGGAACCCAGCTTCTCGAACGGGTATGTCCATGTCTAAGTATTCCCGATGTTTGGTTTGATCCAAGCTGGTTAGAAAGAACGTTAGTTAACTGCTTAATCAGTGACCTAGTTAGTAGAATTTTCTGCTACAGTGACTTAATTAGCAGAGTTTTCTGCTAATTATTCGGTTTTCCATGGGAACTAAAATAATTGAACACTTGAATTCAACCAATCCAAATCCCAATAATAGCTTAAGCTGTTTTCCATGGGAAATAAAATAATTGCACACTTCAATTCAACACCAATTCAAGTCCCCATAATAGCTTAAAATATTGGAACCCAGCTTCTCCAATGGGAATGTCCATGTCTAAGTATCCCATCATTGATGACTTTCTATCATATTGTTTAGAGTGACTTAGTTGATAAAATGTCCTACTTAATTAATAGTGTGTCCAGCTTTGGAGCAGGTCGTATTCGAGTTATTAATGATCTAAGAATCGTCCTCAAATGTCTAGAGTAATGAATGGGTTTAGGTTGATAAAATAATTGAACATTCACAATTCAACCAACTCGAAAAAACAATCTAGTCAAAGAAATATCTTTTCCACAAAGTTCAACTGCTGTCCGTCTACGTAGCAGCCTTCATTTGAGGGGAGAAAGGAAAGAGAGAAGAAAAACATCATTTTCCAAATTTGACCGGAGGGAGGAATTAGGAAAAGGGAGGAGAGAGAAGCTTCCCTTCAAAGTCTACCATTTTCCTTTCCCTCCAGGAAGTTCGAGAAAGGAGGAAAATCAATTCACATTACACCCTTCATTCATTTATATTCAAAGTCATATTAACCAAATCACACGCTCAATGTCCAATCCAGACTCTTCCATTAAGAAAAGTTAATTCACAAAAAATGTATTAATATATTATATAAAAATAAAAAAATAAAAACCATAACATTAATAAATAGTCCAAAACCATTGCCTAATGATATCTGCCTAATTTTCAAAAAATTATTACATGGTCCCAACCAATCATAAACGGCCAAGCAAGCAAAAATTTGAATAAAGCTCATACTAATTGTGTGCCAGTATTTAATTAGCTGGGATCATGTAATATCTGCCTAGGGTTGAATGCAGAGACAGAGAAGGGTTGAATATTATTGGAAGGATGAAACATATACATGAACCTGCAATTGACTGATTCAAGCTACTCTTCAGAACACAACCATTGACATAGATGCAAGGAAGAAAAATAATTGAAAATTGGAAAGAAATAGATATATTATTTGAAAATTATATCAAATTTATCCACATGCTGAGAAAATACTATGCAGGAATTTCTTAACCACCAAGTCATGTTGAAGGGTTTAGTGAGGCAAATGTTTTGTATTCCGAACCTATAAACATTTTTCAACAGGAAAAATAATTTCAACAATTCTTCACCGGTGACTCCACAGTATACTCCCAATTATGTTACATCCAGTAAGAGTTTGCTGGGAATTGATGGCAAATTCGAAAAACGTTGATAAATTCATAAGCTTTGCTAGAATTAATGGCTAGCGCTGAGCTAAACTGATCAATTGCAAAGTGTACAAGCATCAGTGCTGAATCTAATAAACTACAACACTGACATACCAGCTCCAAACTCCTTCTTAGTTGAGACGGGTTTAGTACAACGAGCTGAAAAGTTGATCATATAATAACAAATCTCAAAAGCTAAACCATGCAGGCACCTTGCTTCGTGAACTCGAACCACCTTGCTTCTTGAACTGATAATCAAAAGGCAGCGACGAATTTTTGGATTTTTGTCTGTGCCCTATCCTTCTCTTCAGGACCATCTAGATCACCAATGTTGTCGTGATATTCCTGCAGTTCACCCAGAATATAAATACATGATGAATTACAACTACAAACGAAGAACAAGGAAATATGCAATAGTTGATCTACTATGTATCAGTGACTGCTGGAGCCAAATGAGAGACCGACATTAAAATGAAAAATAAATAGCAAAGACAATACAATTAATTCAAGGGAAAGAATAATTGTATTAGACAAGATTTTCTAATAGAATAACTGATTTTAGTTTTACCATTGAATGGCCTTTTACAATCATCTTAACAAGAATAAGCAACCAGCTAGTCTTTTCTCTTCTCTCTATTCCTCGATAAGCAAATAACTTTCATCATCTCGACCTCCCCAAGCATGTTCTGACAGTTCAGTTTCCCTCCTTAGTCATTGTTTAATTGCCCTTTCCCAAAGTTCAGTTTCCCTTCTTTCCCAAATTAATATGACTTATTAATTTTTCAAATCCCATTTGTTTTTAGATAGCGGACATAATTCTTAATCTAAATATAAAGACACTTCTTTTACTTAAATACTTGAAGTATAGAATGCAAACATCCCATGACTTCCAACCATTTGAAAAAAATATCCATACCACACAATGGTTGGGAGGTAATGCTTAGGAAATTTAGAGAAGAGAGATTTCATGTAGCGATCAAATAAGAGCAGTTAATAAGCACATACTTGAAGAATATCTTTAACATCCTTTTTAGTCAGTTTTTGCTGCTTGAGTAGTAGTTCGATTCTTGATCTCATTCTAGAGTGCCTGCATAGAAACAATGAACTCAAATTAAGGTCCAAAATCTAAAAATGATGAATTCCCCACAAATAAAACTTCTTTTATTTGGAGATATGACTATATCTTAGATGTCAAGACTTACTCAGATGTCCAAAGATGACCCAGAATAACAGCAATTAACTGCAGGATCATGGGTAAGAGAGGTAAAAGACATTAAAAGTGAGAACGAGAGAAATCACTAAAACTTAAGAATTAGAACTTAACAAAACAGTTAAAGATAAAAAGACTATAGTAGTAATACTATTAATGGGGATCACGTCTTACTTATCAAAAAAAAAATTTAATGGGGATCACGTCCTAAGAACAAAAGTTCTCCTCAACTCAAAGTATTATATACTGTCTAAACTCTCATGGTATACTTTATCATAAAATTCGCATCATTCAACTTTTTATATGGCTTTAAAACCAATCCTTCGCAAAACACATTTTGTGTCAATTTTATTCGACAATGCTTGAAAAACTTTTGCGCAACCCAAATTACAAAGTCATCTTTCAAGCTACTCTTTCTTATTTAATAAGCTAACCAGCTTCAACTGCTACCCTTCTTTCCTTCTCTGATCCATGTAAATCCGGAACTTAGCATGCACCAAGTCTGAAAGATTAATAAAAGAAAAAAGAAAAAGGAAAACTAGATGTTTTTCCTCCATTTTTACATGAGTCTGTATTCTTGCTTTCCTTCTATCAATTAGATCAAAAAGTATCAAAAAGGCTAATAGCCCTCTCTATGGTTTTTTCTTGTAGTCCAAGTAATCCAACAATATGTTGTCAGGTTGGCAGCTCATTTATTAAAAAGATGTCCAATGGTTTGAGTAGCCTACTTTGTAGGCTCCTCTAGAGTATAGCTCAGTACATGTAGTTCTTTAGGGGCAGGCTTCAGTGAAAAAAGGACATTAGTATTCTTCATTAGGGATGTGTGCTGTGATACTAATCATATTTGAATTTGTAACAACCCACTCCACCCGCCCACAAGGTCATCACAGAATTCCTGACAGCGATTGCGTCAGCAAGTATATTGCAAATATGCATATTGCAGGGTTGCTATTTGTGTATTTGAATTGCCTAGCAAGTGGCAAAAGCCTCACATTTATAATCAATAATGAATCAGTATCTGAACTGCCATTTTGTTTGGTAAGCTTTTATACGGAGAACCAAAAAAATTTACTTGATTATCCAATTTGATGCTGATGACAACAATGGAATGGACAGGAACAACAAAAATAGCAAAGAAAGGCTGTCAAATTTCGATGTACACATCTACCATCTTTTAGTTGAAGCTGATCTTCCACATCGTATTTCTTCTTGTCATTTCATTTTTATGAATAAGTCCTTCTATTACACTATTTTCATTCACAAACTCTGAACTCAGTATTAATTTGAGACACCAGTTGCGTGAGACAAGTGCAATTACCGTCCTTCAGAACAATTGAAAGAGAGTTTTCAATTGTTTAATGACGTCGTGGATATTGTCACTACTAGCCATATTAATATGACTACGGACATCGACAAACCTAAAATAAGTTTACAAAAGGTGAGTGGCTAGTGATTCCTCAGCCATGTGGGAAGGTCCAATTGTCTATTCATACATACTCGTACTTTAATTGTACTAAACTACGATGCCTAGATTCATTTAATTGAAGCCTTTTTTATAGAAACCACCAACAACAACAACAAAAAAAAAAAAATTCCAAATTGTTGGTGCAATAGAAAAAGAACTTGGAAGTTGAAAGCAAGATTCAGCATATTCTGTAACTTTGATCCAATATCAATATATTAAATAAACCCATAATTTGAGTTCAAATAAAATCAAGTTCCGCACAACCATGTACATCCAGGAATTATTATTTAACAGAGAAGATCCACCGACTGTTCATTTGATGCTTCTGAAAACTGGTTTCTTACAGTATCAATATTTGTAATATGTACGTGGTTCATCGATATTTTCATGGGCAATCTTCCTTTAAATTCTGAAACTTATCTTATGCTAGAAGTTTTTACAAGTATTAATATTTGCAAAATGTGTGCAGGAGTTATTATAGATGATCCTTCTTCAAATTTCTTTATTTCCTCTTGATTATTAGTGACAGTTCTTGATACATTTCGACAGCAAAACAAGTTATACGGTGGGCCAGTGAAATCAAAGTAATTCTTTATAACCCTGGACAACTAGCTTCCTATAAATTCCTACATAGCATGCCCAAATATATAAGCAACTTTAATTTTTAGGATGATAATGGAAAAACTACAACATATATCTAACGATTCTAACCTGAAGAGGGTAAAGTCCAGATTCCAACTTTCGGTTGTACTTTTCGTCTTCATCCATCTGCAATACGTGAAACATGACTACCAGTTCTGGATAAAAAATAATTCAAGGGGAAGTGGTGAACTTAAAATGTGGGAATTATTACAAAAGGAAACATAAATATAAATACAAACCTCTAAATCATCAAGTTCAAGCTGATCTAGCCGTTCAGTCTCTGATTTCACTCTATTAGAATATCTAGAAAATAAAACAGATAATAAGACGTCGATATAAACAAAAATAAAAATATTGATTCTTTTTCCTATATTGAAGACGGGAAGGAATGGGAAGGGGGGTTGTTGAAAGAATATATACGGTTGTGCTCTGCATAGCAAAAGGAGCAAGCAATCACCTCATATAGAGCTCCATAAGCCGGTCTATCTTTTCACACTCATTCTCCACAAATTTACTTAACAATCTCTCTCTTCTGGAACCCCTTAAAATTCCACCTGGTTATGGTAGTATCAGGAAGATTAATCAGTGACTCAGAATAGAGGAAAATACTAAACTAAGGTGCATAATACTAAAACTATCCCATATGTGCCATAATAAGGCAATCTAAAGCCTTCATTCCATTCTCATGGTATGAAATTGCACTTTGGAGAACTGTAAAATCTAACTTGAAGTTCATACAATAGCAAGCAACTCAGGAAAAAGAGGCTACTGATTTGATTAATTAAACTTTTAATGAAACACCAATCCTCCTAATGCAAAGACACTGAACCACACCAACCAAAGAAAGATATTCATTTTACCAAAAATAAGAATTTACATGATACTTCAAGAAGATTCAAAGGGAAGTCCTAAACTTATTCTGCAAATCAACCAATCAGTCATAACACTTCCATACCAAATAAAGATAAATTCAAGAGCATAAATCTTGGAATCAAGAGATTTAACTGTTTTATCAGTTAGATGGTCAAACTGAATTCTCTAGAGACACCTGAAATTTTCTAAAATTTTATTCCAGAAAGCGGAAAGAAACAGACAGGGTGAGGCCTACAATTTTAAGAAGATTTCATTGAGAATTTCTGCTAATCCCCCAAGCTATCACAAATAAGATTGAGTTTTTAACAATGTCAGAACTATCCACAATATTAAGATCAACATGGTTTTAGCATAGGATTGATCTTCAGAACTGTCAACTCTTTAGTAAGCCACCATGCAATAATTCCTCGCTAGTCCAAACATAAAGTTCACACATTCAGAAGACATAATAAAATGGGTGTCGAATATCATCCAAAATAAATAACTTCTCTTAAAAATTAAGATATGGTGTATTTATCATTCATGTATATACAGGATTGTGTATATTGCCATCATTACTAGTGGAGTAATGACAGTCATCACTTGTGACATGTCTTCAATTGATGAACTTATCCAAAAAAATGCTACCACAGTGTTAAAAAAAGCTAGGTTCATCATAATAAATTGATTCAATCAAAAAAATCAAGAGCATGCTTCTAAATACTTAATATATTCATAAATATTAGTATACATTTAATTATGATATACCACAACCAAAACAAACCCTAAGAAATAACTACAAATTATTACATTCACTTGCCTTCTTACCAAATAATGATGCAATTAGTGATAAAAGGCGCTCTTCCAGCTCTTCTTTGTAGCGTCTTTTCTTGTTCTTCTTGTTAATGGGAATCTGAAAAAACAAAACATTCAAACAATATTAAAATTATCACCTTACATTTAGATTCAATCAATTGGCATAAAAACGGCAAATATATATTATAAAAAAAAAAAAAGAGTAAATATATATACAAACATAGATAACAGCTTACAAATCTGTAATAATCACAACTCTTTCTAGTACAAGGAACTTAAATTATGTGCAGGTCTCATGTGAAAAGCATTATGGCATTAAGATTTCCAAGGCTTAGCTCAGGACCCCACTACTCGTCGTATTTGGTTTGGTATTCCTACCGCACATGACTTCTAGAGTCATGATGATATTACTGAGGAACGTCTTTATCATGTAAATTCTTTTTCGTTTTTTTCTTTTCATAGATAAAGGTAATGTAAGAAAAAGGTTAAAAAATAAACAAATCACACTTCAAGTACCCTGCCAACTAAAGAAGATTTGGGAAAGCACCATGCTCTGTGAAAAGCAAGAAGGTCAACCAAGAAAACAGATTGAGTTACTTGCTTTTCTTTCATCTAAAATTTATACATTTGTTAGTTGGAGCATTCTCTCTGGTGGTGAGGCAGCTTAATTCGACTTGTTTGATTTCTTTTTTTATTTTTTATGCATTTTGAGACAAGTAGGAGCGTTAGGGAAAATATTAATATTATAACAGCCACTAACCTAGATATCAATGCAAGTTCTAGGGTAGTGCCAAAAGCTTATGCTTTGTTTGGTACAAAAGACGGAAAAATAGGCAGAAGGGAGGCTAGGAAAAATGGATGAGATATCCCTTGCAAAAGGAAAGTGCCATTCTCCTTTTTTGTTGTTTGGTTGAGTGGGAGGTAGGAGGTGACACATTCAATTGTTTGGTATGAATGAAGGAAAGGAGATGTTTTATATGTTTTTAGAATGACACCCTCATTATATAATTTTACAAATATTGATTAAGGATTATAACATCACTTCACATGATATACCATACTTACCCTTCTCTTCCCTCCTCTCTTCCATCTAAATTTGGAGGGATGAAAAATAGTGGGCCAGGAGGCAAAAGGGATGCCTCAGCCATCCATTCTCTTCCTCCCTCCAACTATTTCTTATACCAAACAATGGAGACTCGCTCCACCCCTCCGATCCTTCCATCACAACAAGCACAACCTTAGCGACACTTTCACCATGCCTACGAATTCAGGGTCTGAAACCAAATTTATCAATCAAACCCCTCTGTGGTATTTTGGTCAACTTAGAAAGCAGTAGCAACCCAACTATTACATGTTTCAAACTTCTCTAATAGGTTTTCATGGATCGGGGCTTTTTCTCAATCCCTCGGATGACAAGATATCTCGCTGTGTGGAACAAAATTAATATTGAGCAAAAACATTGACAAAAGACGTAACAATATGAGATACTACAAGAATGTGAAAGGATGAATTTTTTATTATGTGATCCTATGTTCCTAATTTTGCAAGAAAGTACTCCTTGAATAAATAAACAAGACTCTTCCTATCTCACTGTAATCCTACTGTGTGAAGCATTGCGGTAGCTTTAAAGCTATCATCCCCTCGTTCCAATTTTTGTTTACATTTACACAATTATAAAACATACATATAAGCATATCACATTTAATGTAACACGTGAATAGAATTATTCAAAATATGGAGAAAAATAGGAAAACTTGAGTCTCCAAGTTAGGTACTTGTGTAACTCTGCATGTATTATCACAGTATCAACAGTGAAAAAGTATCTAGCATCTTTCCTCCCTTAATGAATTAGAAGAATAATACTCGACCACAAAGAATGGAAAGAGGAAGCGGAACTTGCCTTACCCATGAAAGCAGGAAAAGCAGTCTTCAATCCCATCATATCCACAAAACGTTCACAGGCCGGCGGATACTTTGTCATTGCAAAATCAAGAGCCCGAATTGCAGAGCCATAGCATGATTTCTTCTGGTTCATAATAATAATCATCAATTCCACTCCTTCAGCCTTCACAAACCTCTCCTTGTTCTCCAAAGGCATCAACAAACAACACAAGCAATCAAACAAGTTCTCCACCATCTCCTCCTCGTCCGGTGTCCTCGGGTCCCTAGACTTGTACAGCGCCACCGCCTGCAACACCACATCGACGCCGTTCATTTGCCCCAACCTCTTCTGATTCGCCGCACTATTCTGCAACAAAATGGCCAAAATCTCCGAAGCATACTGCTTGTTACCATCAAACTCTCTAATCTTAATCTTGCCCAATAACCACCTCATCAATTTGGTCCTCTCGCACACCATCTCGGCCACAGTCGGCTTCACTTCAATCAAATTCTCGATCGTTGCGAGTGTATTATACACTGCGGCCATCTCATCGGGATCGGTTTCCGATAATCGAAGGAGATTCTGAACCAGTAATTCGAGAACGTTGTTCTCGATGAGCGCATCGACGAGGATTTGGGCGGGCTCGTCGTTGTCCTCCAACACGTCTTCATCGGTCAAGTCTTGGAGCAATCCGACGACGTCAGTGGCAATGTCGGCGTTGTCGTGGTGCAAGAGACCGAGAATCGACGGAATAGCGTTGAGGTTAACGAGCTCCGGGTAGAGATCTGGCCCGCCGGCGAGGATTTTGAGCTTCTCGATCTCTTCGTGGAGCTCGAGTTCGGAGTCTGCGAACCTGTCGGGTTGATCGGGGTACTTGAGGCGGGCTTCGATGTTGTCGCGGAGGCGGCGCTCGAAGGAGAGGACCAGCTTCTTGACGGTGCGGTGGTCGACGACTTCGATAGCGTTCTGGGATCTCTCAACGGCTTCGAGGAGGGAGAGGTCGACGCCGCCGTTTAGGGCCGCGGGTGGTGGCGGCGGCTCGAGGAAGGTTGAATCATCGTCATCGTCAGCGACGGCTCGTTTGCGCTTGGAGACGTGGTTGCGGGCGGTGGCGATTTCCATTGGCGTTGGTTCTGATGGAGAAATTTCAAAACCCTAATTTCTGTGTTTCCCCAACTGGAGTGAAGCACTCTGGTGACTGTGATTAAACATTTTTTTTTGAGGGATTAAACTAAAAACAGTCGCTGGATAATGAGGTACTTTAAAAAGCCCAAAAAAAATAAAGAAAAATTAAAAAATATATATTATTCAAATTGTAAACATTACATTGGCAAGAGAAAACATTAATTTTACTACTCACATTACCAATGCTCACCAAAAAATTAAAAAGAAAAATTATTAATTAAGAAAAAAATAATATGATGTGGTGATTAGTATGGTGACCATTGAGTGAATGAAATAAATATTCATCATTTAACCTTTTCTTAATATATTTACTGGATTTTGTTGACATAATTTTGACCATTTTAACTTTTTTTCATAAATGTTGAGTTTGAAATTTTGAAAAGAATAAGAGGATTTTTTTTTTTTTTTTTCTCTTAATCATAGTACTTTCTTTTTCTTTTTCTTAGACGAGATAATACTATCTTCTTTTCTGGCTTATTTTTTTTTTCACTAAACAAGTAAACTTACATTTTAGAACATAATTTCAGTTTCAGAAACAATATTATTCACGCTCCATTTTCTCTAATCATGGTAGTTTTGTTGACCTACAAACAAATTTGAACTTGGCTAAACAAAAAGTGATATGTTGAGCTAAGAAAAAACACTTCTTGGGATAGGTCTACTATTGAGTAGACAAAGAATTCAAAGTTTCATGGAAGGAACAACCTTATTGATATCAAATATCATTATATTATCAATAACTTGAAGCTGTTCATGACCAGAATTAAGTTGCAGATGTCATTCTATAGAAGTGTTTGAAAAGATATGAAGCCAAGCCACTAGGAAATGAGGAAAAAATATATAAAAGGGATGAAAAATACTTATCTTAGGCCATATTAAAAGGAATTTCCTCCTTAGATGTGATGTGGACCAACTAAAATTTGGCATAATCTTTAAAAAAATTTAAAGATAGATCATATAACTCGTATCGCAAGTGTCGTGTTGCCTGAATAGTTGAGTTGCTCTCCGTGTTTAGGAGTTCGTGTTCGAGCCTTGCACCTTCTCCCTCCTCTCGCTCTACTAACCCCTAACATTCTTGCCATTTTCTTACACCTTCTCCCTCCTCTCGCTCTACTAACCCCTAACATTCTTGCCATTAAAAAATGGTACATTTTTCGGGGAGTGGCGGTGGTAAAAATGATTATGGTTTTATAATGGAAATGGGCGAGGAGATTTTTTCTGAAAAAAATTGAAGGCGTGGACGGCAGGATTCGAACCTGCGCGGGCAAAGCCCACATGATTTCTAGTCATGCCCGATAACCACTCCGGCACGTCCACCAATGCGTGTTAATGGGTCTCGATTTTGAGTTAATATATAAACTAAAAGTGTCGTTAGGTGACCTTAAAGAGCACATTTTTGTACGCATATTGTTTTTGCGTGTAAAATTGTAAATATAAGAAAGTTAGGTCAATTTATGTTATGTTATGTGCATCTCTCATATTGTTTGGTAGATCCTTGCTTGATCTATTTCGTTTTACTGTTACTAGATTTTTAAAAACTTTTTTTTTTTAAATTTACATTCAAGTTAGGTTCTATTTGTTTGAATGTAAAATATATTTTTTATTTTATGATATTTGATTGTCGTAAAATATTTACAAATAAAAAAATATTTAAATCTAACAAAAATAATTTACTCATTAATTCTCGGCAAGCTAATTTAAACACTCCACCCTATGGACTCGATCTTAACCTCAATCTAGACCTTTGTCAAATATTGAAGAAATAAAAAAATATTTTACATGAAAAGAAAAAAAAAATCTAAAAAAATATCTTACGTTGAAACAAACGGAGCCTCAAAATCCCATTTTACTTCTACTACTATATTAATCAATTAAATTATATTTTTATATATTTTTGACTTTATAATTTCACTTATATTCGATAAATACACTTTTCTTTTCTCATAAATAGTAATTGTAAAATACACTAATAATTAGTTTACGAATTGTCTCTTAATCATGATATTGAAAATATGCTTAGTATAACCAAAATTTATTCTAAATTACTCATATTTGAATTAAAGGCAGATCTTTGATGGTCGAATATCAATATTTGATTTAATTTAAATTTTAAATTTAACCATTATAATAATAATTCCACATCAAACTTAACTTCATCTTGAACTATATAAATAGTATTGTGTCACGCGCCATCAAATTGAAGATATGTTATGCCAAATAGGTGATACAAATACTTATAAAACTTCGGATGACGTTTACATGATAAACTTAGTTTTTTTTAGAATATTTCAATTTTGTATTGAATTTTATTTTTTAGAACTCAAGTGAAGTAGGAGAATTTTAGAATATAGAATATAGAAGAGGGGATTTTAAATATATTAGATATTTTGATCCAACACTAAAATATTTAAATCTTGAATGCCTATAAAAGGGGTGGAGCTTCTTTTGCTCCACAAGCTTCTTTTGCTCCACAAGCTACCGTATAAACAAAGTGTTTCTTATTTTTATATCTATGAAACTTTATAGATATTTCTTTTTATTCTCATATTTGATTCCTTACAGTAGATAATAAAAATACAAAGAATGTGATCTAATACATCCAGAATATGGGGCTAATTCTTCACAGATTTGTAAAAATTATTTCAAAGATAAAATAATTATCAAATTTTAAATAAAATATCATTAAAATGACCTTCAATTATTTATATATATAATAGTTTTATAAAAATAATAATTCCACCCCCAGAAACGACTCTACAAAAATTAAACTAATAACTGGCAAGTTAATCTTATTTCACACATACTCTACCGAAGTCTTTTTAATATCCATATTTTTAATCTCAAATTTGATTTTAAAAAATAGACAATCAAAATCAAATCATAGAGATAATCCAAACAGCTCTTGTATACCAAAATCAAAAGAAGACACAAAACGAAAACTCGTTTGTATCCATCTTCAAGAAACAACACCAAATCTTTTTAGGAATCGTAGTTTTTGTCCTCTCAAATTGTCGAGGAGAGATTAAAGTCCAGGGTTTGAGAGCACAATCCGATCTTCCGTATTTTGCAATCTCAATCAAAGAAGAATAAGAAACGGAAATGATTTTATTACTATTAAAAAAAAAGGAAGAAGAAGAAAGTAATGTAAATCGTCACTAAAGAAAAATAACATGAATGATGGGTGTAAGTTATTAGAATTTATGTGTATATACATATTAGTGTGTATATATAAGTAAAAATAGATGCAAGTGACTAGAATTTAATCATATTTTGATATAGAAAAATAGTTGGGGTGAGAAATAACAATAATTTGGGAATTAAGTGAAAAACGAAAATTCTAAAATAAATATAAAATAATTAAATATAACTTGAGAATAGAAGTGCTAAATTAAATCGATTTATATATTCATAATTATATAGTAAAATAAGTTTAAAATTTTAAGTTATAATTCATCCGAAGTTAAAAATAAAAAGTTAAATCTTATTTTTACTTTTGGTGTAAGATGCTCAAGTGTTTTGTTGTATTGTTTGTCTATTAATCCAGCTTATGGTGTTGAATTGACAATAATAAGAATGATCCATCCGTCGAGCATTTCTCGTTTCGATGAGAAATTGTTTGTACGAAGAATCTTGTGTGCTGACACTATACTTGTCTAGTTGGATTCATTCCAATTCCTTGAGTAGGCACGGACACAACATACGTCTCCACTGAACTTTTTATATTTTTATTTTATACCTTAATTTTTTTAGAATTTATGAAAATACTCTCACTAAATTTACCATTTGCCCCTACTAGATTCTTTTTTTCTTTTTCTTTTTTTTTTTTTTTCTTTTTTTTTTTTTTTTTTTTTTTACTTCAAATGTTTAAGAATTTATGAAGATGCACTCACTAAAATTACAATTCGCTCCTACTATATTTTTTTTTTTTTTTTTTTTTTTTTTTTTTTTTTTTTTTTTTTTTGCATTTTATACTTTAGATTTTAAAAAATTTATAAAGAAAATCTCATTAAAATTACAAAAATGGACCCACCGCAAGGTAAAAGGTTGTCCCCTCACAAAATTTTCTAAGTTCATCACTGTTCTTGAGTATAGCATGTAATGTACTCGTGAACTGTATTCTAGGTCGAGAGATCAAATGCCTAATTTGGATGCAAACAGTTCACATTAAACTAGCTTCACTTTCATGAATTTGATTGCTAAAGATGATGAACAAAATGAAGCCTCGATGTCTTTAGTATTATTTGGATTAATCTCATGTGTGAAACAAAATTTTGTACTATAATCTATATATGCAGCAACATTACAGCATACAAATTTGTCAACCACATTTTATGCCCTAATGGGCAAACAGATTCATACTTCATTGACCCAAGGTGTCATATCATTGCCCGGAAAGAACCAATGGTTCAACTTCCAACTACTATGCTTGGCTGCAATGCTTCTCTTCAGTCTTCTCTAATATTCTTCTTTTCATACCAATTATAGTACTCCCCTGTATCGAAAATAAGCGTCTATCATTCTTTTTTTATTCGTTCCAAAATAAATATCACATTTTATAAAGTTAATGTAATATTTTTTATATTATTACCAATTTAACATTTTTACATTGAATTTTTTTAAAAGAAAACTATCACGTCAGTGTAGACGAATAAATTTGATAATTCATTCACAACTAATAAAATTTTAAAAATAATAAAAATTATTCTCTTAAAAAGTTAGATTCTAAAAATGGACGCTTATTTTAGGATAGATGGAGTACTATTTTTAGGGAAATCACTTCATACATGTTGCGCCTTTGATTCGAGGATCAATGGTCAAGAAGCACGACATTTCTTTTCGGAGTGTTGGGGTTTATTCGGACATTTAAACATGCAAATTTGTGTTCGACATGGTTAGAATTTTTCATACAGTTTGACCATATACATATATTTTTAGTTCAACACGCAACGAAAACATGTTTGAGGAGAAATTATTATATAATTTAGGTCAATCACGTGTTGATATATAAACAAATGTGTCAAGTTTATGTCACTCTTTACTTATGTGTGAGCATGTGATTTGTCAGAATTATGTAATAATTTTTCATGATGGAATAAATATTCAGTGTGCTAGACATATTTAGTCATTAATATGCCCGACTAATGATAATGTATCATTTCAAGAATGCAAATTATTTTCGTAACTGTAGTATTGGCCGACCCTTTGATGGCCTTGTGTTTTGAGTGTAAGGTTGGGCCATGGGCGTACTGTATGTTGTTTCTTTGGGCTTTGGCCTCTGTACATTTATTTATATCAGGACAATTTTTAACGTTTTTTTTTAAAAATAAAAATTGACCATTAACGCATAAAATTACTGATAACAAAATAATATGTTATATTATATTAAATGATTACAATTATGGCTACTCCTGTGATGGTATTACTCAGGGTTGAGCCAGCTCAACCGTTGAGCTGCCTAGCCTTCTGATCAGATTTCTCCATCACTTTATTCATATCATGAAGAGTTCTTAATACACTCAAACCAAGGGACCACATAAACATGACATGAAATGAAATAATTGTAAAAACATTATGTCATCAATTTCACCTCATGTCATTTTATCAATAAATTTTGATATTATTTTACATTTTTTTTGGACAAACATTTCCTATTAAAATTATTACAGTATTAGTTACATAATTAGAAGAAATAAAATATGTGTTGGTTGGATGCTTCGTTAAATATAATATTATTATAAATTCTAATCACATCACGAAAGGTTGATCTAATGATATCTCTTTTAAGTGGAATGTGAATATTCGAATTCCTCAAGAATAAAGTGGTGGGGGTTGAATTCTAAAATGGACAAAGTGAAATTTTTTTTTTTTATATCAATAAAAAAAAATTTAAAATAAATAAATAATTAAAAACTCTAACCTTATGCCACTTTGGACATTTGAACTTCTCTAATTTAGTGACTCTCTGCACAATTGGATAACAAACTTTCCTATTTTAAGCCATTTTCACCCCCAAAAGCAGTTATAAAAACAAAAACTTGCTTCTTGTGGGCGCAAAGGAGTGCAAACATGGTTTTAAATCAAAGTTAAAACATGGTTTATTATCAAAATGGGAAGCTTTGTGTGGTGGTCTTAATGTCCATGTAGACAAACATTTTCACACATATAGAGTAAAGAAAAACTATTAAAGCCAAACTCTCTAGAAGGTCTGTTTGGCTGTCCATTCTGTGTGCTTCTCTGTTTCTCTCTCTTATGTGGATGGATAACTATGGACCAAAAGTGTGGAGGACAGTTGATGTATTACATATTGAATTTTGACTGGTGGTGTGCTGACTCATCCCATTCTAATCTCTGCCCCGTTTTTGGGTGAAGGGATTTCATTATCAAGAGGATTCAGAGAGATTTTGAAAACTTATATAATTAGGTAGTACAATAGATAAGTAATCATTTGTCAATAGTGAAAAGTAAATTAATTGAAAACTATATAATCAATAGTGTTGTCTCCCTTTTTTCTTATATATAAATATTTTTAGTGAAAATTTTCAAAAAAAAATTATTGTGAATAAGATTCCCCTCCAACTCATTTCACTTATAGAATATATAGTTGGATGTTGGGTTAAAAGAAATTATGATATATATATATACGATACTCAGGTATAGTAAACTTTCTCTTAGATAACACTTTATCTGTATTAAATTATTTTCTTTATTTTTGGATTACAAATCCTAATTTCCTTGTATGACTATATATACTATATATATATATATATACAAGGAAATTAGGATTTGTAATCCAAAAATAAAGAAAATAGTTTAATACAGATAAAGTGTTACCTAAGAGAAAGTTTACGATACCTGGGTATCGTATTCTCGAGATCTCTCAGTCGTTGGATCATTCATTAAGTGAGTCCAGGACCAGTGGGGCGGATGTTCCCACTGAATTTTTTCTAATATACATTATTACTTATAGTTTTAATTAAATTTTCAAAAATGCCCCCACTCAATTTTTTAAAATGCCCCCCATCACATTTTTATCTCACTAATTTCTCCACTAGATTTTTTTTTTATTTATATTATTACCTAAAGTTTTAGCTAAAATTTCAAAAATACCCCCACTCAAATTTTAAAATGGCCCACTTCAGGAATTATTTTAAAAAAAATTTGTCTACAATTTTTTTTTAATTCTTCAACGACGCCTAAAAAAATTTGTCTACAATTTTTTTTTAATTCTTCAACGACGCCCCCCTTCAAAAAAATTCCTAATTTGTCATTGCCATTGCCCATCATCACATCCAACGACGGAGAACCTTGAAAGTACAATATTCGGGGTATTGTAAACTTTCACCTGAACTCGATAACTTATAATTTAGATTTTTCTTTACAAAATAAAATCTCATCGTTAACATAAACTATAAATAGAATAACGTAAATTTTGTGTATTATGTGATGCATTATTCAAGTGTGTTGACAAAGCATATTTTCATCTTTTATTTAAAAAATAAATAAATAAAAAAATAACTTTTTTATCTTTACCTCGTGTGGGAATGGAATTTTGCTTTGTTGAAAACAAAAAGAAAAAAAGGAAAAAAGTGGAGAAGAAAAATTGAAAATGTAAAACAAACTTTGGAAGAGTGAGTTATCCGGACAAAGGAATATAAAACTGTGGGTAATGTTTCATTGGGATGATACAAGAAAAAAACAGGGAGCGGCTGTTTTTAATGAATTGCCACACCAAAAGTAGAGACCCTTATCCACACTGCACTTTATTGTCAAGTAGAACACCCCCACGCGCCCACTTGTAACGCGCCAAGTCCATACCATTTACAAAAATTTTCAAACCAATAAATTAATAGATCAAATAAAATAAAATTAAAAAAAAAAAAACAAAGATGGTGTTATTTGTTAATTTTGATTATGTGTTGATTAGTCAAATTTTTCGTTTTATGAAACATTTACTATAGAAATACAATCTAAAATGGAGTTAGTAGGGTTTTTTTCGTAAGTGTCATGAGATTATTTTTGAAGCACAAATGTAAATTTTTTCAAGATGTACATCTAAAATACTTGTATCGAGTTTTGATTTATCTAATAAATCAAATTGTTTAAGTTTATACTTCCTCTAATTTTGACAAATATGCTGTCAAGAGGGTTTGTTGTTTTATAATCTAATTATATAATTTTATTTAATTAAGTGAGTTTGATACTGAAATTTAAATATCATATACAATTTAAGATCAGTTAAATGGATGATAATATTGCTTACTATTGAATACTAAACCAAAAAAAAAAATTAATTTTACAACTATATCTTAAAAGTTAACTCTTTAATTTTTTTAAAAAAATATTATTTAAGTCGAAGTGTGTAATTAAACGTTCTTATCCCTTTTGATGCAGTTGCTATTTAAGTCATAGTTAAATAATTCTTATTCTTTTGATGCAGTGGATTAGACTGTGTCAAAAGGATAAAAAATCCATCAACTAAACACATCGATCTAATAAAATTGATTTAGAATATAATTATATATTTTGTTGTTCCCGACTAGATTTTAGATTTTTGTCGATTTTTGTGATTTTCGATTTGTGCGGGGTTTAGGTGGTTTTTCACCATTCGGAAGCGCCGTGTGGATGGAGTTTTGGAGCAGTTGCCTTGTTGATGGCTTGATCTTTATGTCACTTCCGTTGATGCTCGTCTTATGAGGTGGCTTTCGTTGTTCTTCTCAGCAAATTTGGAACCTAGTCTTCATTTTTTTTCTTTATACTTCAAGTTTTGTTTGTCTTTTTATGACTTGCCTTTATTACATCTGTACTGTCCTTATGGATGCCGTCTTTGGTTGTGTTTAGTGGTCTTGTTTTTTTGTACATATCATAGGCTTTTGTTGCCAGAAAAAAATAATAATAATAATAATAAATAAATTAACAATTAATTTTCAATTTTATTAATTAGTACTAACAACTAAATCAACTCACAATGAATAAAATGTCCTTAAACCTTACCCTTTCAACAGTTGAATTTGCACGCGCACAGGGGTTTGGTGTGGAGTCATTTACTGCCATATTTAGGTCAGTAGGGACAGGTGGTGGGGGGTGGGTAAGGGCAAACGTACTATTGCAAAGGCAAGATAACTGGATAATGCCGAATCTTACAGATATAGATAAACAATATATATATATATATACACAAATATATATGGTGTGTATATATAACTCTTTCCCACTTTTCCAACCCACCACCATGTACGTTTCAATCTTCCCAATCCTCCAAAATCTTGAAGATGGCATGTTTGATAGCTTTATTGGAATTCGCAGCATAAGAGAGTAGCAGAGTTTTGGTACTAGTACTTCTTCGTGTTGATTGAGAGTTGCACTGTGCGTTACTGTGTGTGTATATATATGCATGTTTGTTTGTTGGGGAGTGAAACTGAGATTAGGGGTGTGTCTGGGAGATCGGTTTGGGAATGGGTTTTTCTTCTTTCAACCAACAAAGCAAGCTTGGGATCATGGATGAGGAAGCTGTTGAAGTTGATTCAGTTTCATCTTCTTCCTCTGAGGTTTTGAGTATGGTGTCTTCTGAGTCAGATTCAATGGATCAGGAGGTGACTTCCTCGCCGTCCCCTTCCATTTCTCCGCCGTCCGGCCAACTTGGGGCTGACTCTTTGCATGACATGTCCTCTCTCCTCCAACAACTTCCCTTCAAGTAATTTCTCTTTCCTCCCCTCTCTCTGTTTGGAAACAAGAATATCTACTTTTCAACATGATTCACGACCATTCCCCCCCCCGGCCAAAAAAAAAAATTGAATTCCTTTGTTTGGACGGGGAAAGGAAAGTTTTGAGTTTCAAATAATTTTTTTATTTATCTATATATATATATATATATTTGGGAAAAAAAGTTGATATCACCTTTGGTTAGTGGGAAACTAAAAAGGGTTAATAAATTGATAATTTTCCCTTTTTCCCTCAAAAGCAAACACATCCACATATCCGCATATCCACAGCAATCTCTTGTTTTAAGAGGAGAGATCATGTCATTTGGAGTAATGTCACATTATTTTTTTCTTAATAAAGTTTAATAATAGTAATAATATCCTTTCTAGGTAATCCTTTTCTTTCCTTTCCACTTTCCTTTTTCCTCTCTTCCCGTTTGGAGTTAGTTATGCATTGGTATATGCGGTGTGTTGTGATGGACATGATATTTAACCTTGGTTTTTTTTTTTTTTTTTTTACTCATACACAGTTGATTAATTAATTAATATTGGGTTTCTTCTGTTTTTTTTTTTTTTAAAAAAAAATTTTTAGGAGAGGGCTCTCAAAGCATTTCCAAGGGAAGTCACAGTCCTTCACTTCATTGTCAAATGTGAGGTGTTTGGCGGATCTAGCGAAACCTGAGAACCCCTACAACAAGAGGTTGAAGTCATGCAAAAGCTATGCTGGATTGTTAGATCAGAGCCACAGATCATCACCAAACAACCCTCCAAGGAATAATGTTTCCTCAAGGCTCATCTCAAAGAAGGCATCAAGGGGCTCTTGTTCTTCACTTAGTGCAAAGAGGAATGCTAGTTTCCTCGGAAGCAGACCACCCATCAACAACACTCCCATGAGATCCACTAGTTCTAGCAACATTTCTAATCAAACCCCTTTGTTTGCTTGAAATGGGTATTTTAGTAATTTGAACAACTGAGCCAATCTTTGATCTCTGTGTGTGTGTGGTACTTTTGTTTGTAATTAATAACCATATCACTTGACAATGTAATTTTCAACTTCTTGGTGGTTTTTTTTTTTTTTTTTTTTTTTTTTTTTTACAATAGGGGTAGCTATTGCTCATGTTGTTTAAGAACTATATGAATTTTATTTATGAATCTTATTTTTTAGAAGATTAGCAACACTCCCATGAGATCCACTAGTTCTAGCAACATTTATAATCAAACCCCTTTGTTTGCTTGAAATGGGTATTTTAGTAATTTGAACAACTGAGCCAGTCTTTGATCTATATGTGTGTGGTACTTTTGTTTGTAATTAATAACCATATCACTTGACAATGTAATTTTCAACTTCTTGGTGATATTTTATTTTATTTTTTATTTATTTATTTTTTTTCAATAGGGATTGCTATTGCTCATGTTGTTTTAGAACTATATGAATTTTATTTATGAATCTTATTTTTTAGAAGATTAGCACTACAAGTTTTTTTTCGCACTTAGTGTTTGTGTGGCAAACTTGTGGGCAGGTGCAAGAGGTACTGGTTCGGCCTCAAAACGGATAATATTATATCATATGGTAGAGTAGGTTGTTACAAATGATATTAGACTGGAAGTGTGGTCAACGAGGACGGGGTGATGGGGCGGGTGCAAGTGGCACGTTGCGCAAGTTATAAGTATAGGTGGAGTGAGTTGTTACAATTGGTATTAAACTGACCCAGCTGGAAGTGCGGTTAACAAGGATGTTGGGTTCAATGAGGGTGTTGGGGCGGGTGCAAGAGGCACATTGGGCTATTGCGCTGGGCGAGTTACATATGCAAATAGAGTGGGTTATTACAAATGGTATCAGACTGACTTAGTTGAAAGTATGACAAATGAGGATGTTGGATTCTAAGGGAGGTGATGGAGCGGGTGAAAGAGAGACACTGGACGAGTTACAGATGCAAGTGGAGTGGGTCGCACATATTCTTAGTCAATAATAGATTTAATAATTTCGATGACACTGGACGAGTTACAGATGCAAGTGGAGTGGGTTGCACAGATTCTTAGTCAATAATAGATTTAATAATTTCGGGTCTTATGTCAATTTTTTATTATTTTATTTTTTGAAATGCAAGAATTATAAAAATTAAATCTATTTTTTGGTTGATAGTAGGTGAGCTTCCCCCTTCTAATAACTGCTAACTAGGATAAGGTGGAAGCTAGATCTGATCCTAAATCTTTGATGTAGCCATTAAGACATTTTACCAACTGAATTAGTTCGCACTTTCAATGAAAGTTAGTAAGAGAAATTATTAGATCGACTTGATCTATTTGATACCTGATGGATTAATTCAATGAAAATTCTTTATTCATAAAATTTTGTAATTTATTAATACACTCTTGTGGAATCATTTTCTCAATCTGAAAGTTTATATTTAATTGGTCCGTCAAATATTAATGGATCAAGACCATCTAATAATTTCTCAAGTTAAGTACTACGTATATTTTTTAGTGAAGTTTTAAATCACTGATTTTATAGGTAGCAAGGCATATTCATGTGAAAGGTGCAAAGACAACTTCAATACTTAAGAAATAGCGAAAGTTTAATTGACTATTAAGAGTATTACCCTAAAAAAACAAAAAAAAAAGAGGGATAAATTTCATGTCAATATTTCACATAGATCTCTTTAGGTTTCATAATCTCGCTTATTGTCCCATCGGGTACCAGCCCCACTCGTCCGTTTAGAACGATTATGGGAGTGGTTAAATGGTTTTGGGGCGGGGACGGAAAAAGTTTCCCCTCCCAGTCCCGTTTATATTGATAAATTACAATTTTATTCTTATATTTTATTTTATATTTAATAATATTAGGTATATATATATATATATATATATATATATATATAGCAAATCATAGTTTATTCTTTTCTAGTAAGTAAATGTTCTTTTGTATTATTTTTATTTGAAAACTTCTATATATTATTTTAATGTTTCAACAATAATTTTAGTCTTAAGTTTCAATTGAGAAGTTGAATCTTCTTCTTTTTTTATCTGCATAAGAGAAAAAAAATTATGATTATAGTTAAAAATTTGTTTTATTATTTACTTTCATTAAATTCGTATTACAATTACGAAAATAATCTACAAAACTCATCTTGGCCTCGTCCCCGTCTCGTTTCATAAACGGTTTTGCAATAGGGATGGGGGTAGCTATTTTAAATGGGGATGGCGTTTCCCGGCCCAAATCACCCCATTGCCATTCTTAGTCTCGATGGTCTAACTTGATGATGGTAGTGCATTATTTGACCATTTTGCTCATAAAATATTTGCCGTCATTTCAGGCATTAGAATGACAAAACTGACATCCTACTCATATTTAGCTATTGATATCAGCATATTTTATTTGTCGCCTGTCGACATAAAATAATCTTCACGTGAGAGTAAGTGATTATCAAATATATAGAGATTTATGTAAAATATCAATAAATCTCAAAGGAGGTAAGTAAAATTTATCCCCTATAAAAAAATAAAAAAAAACCAATAGCATTAGGAATATATTTGAAAATTTAATTATTCCTATGTTGTCTTTGTAAAAAATAAAAATTTGGATCGTCAATTTGATTGGGATAGTGTTGGAAGCTTGGGGACCGTCTAGTGTTGATAAAATTTTCAATAGTAGGTAACGCTTTAATTGGGGGGACCATTCATTGTTTGGTCCCAGAGAAAACAGCATCAAGAATATTTCTTAGAGAGAGGAGTAGCATTTACAAAAGGAACTTTCATAATCTATCAGCAAGAAAATTGTCTTCTTGCGTATTATCAACAAATAGACAACCAGAAGCTTCCGAGAAAAAACCATATAGACCACCACTAGCCTGTTGCATTACAATTACTGTCAATTTTTTATTTTTTATTTTTTAAAATTAATTTTTTTTTTTTTTAACCTTCCTAATGAAACATTCATTAATTAATATTTTACTCCACTGTATGTTAAAATAAACTTTTCCAAATCCAAAACAGATAATTTAATGGTTAATTTTTATTTCATATATTAGAGGGTGGAAATTCAAATTTACTTAATTAATTGTCTAGAACATAACATGCATGATCTCATTATTTTTCACACATGTTCAAGGGATGAATTATGAATTACTTTTAAAAGACCCAACACAATGTTAATAAAAATAATTAAAAAAAGAAATGAACACTCAAATATAAGATTATAATTAATAGGGTAAAGTGTATTAAACCCCCCTGAACTATTGGGGTATGTGCAAGAAATCCCCTTGAACTATAAAAGTTGCAAAAACCCCTCTTAAACTATTATGGTATGTGCAAGAAACCCCCCTGAACTATATATATTTTTACAGTTTACCCCATCTGCGTGAATTGATTGACTGAAAGGGACGTTGAAGCCGAAGAATTTGTTGTTGGGATCGGTGAGTTTCCTATTATAGCTCCATTATAGCCGTTGCACCACTCGCCAGATCCGTCGGCCATCTATATCGCACTTTTTTGCACTGTTGCGTCAGCCCATCACCGTCACCGCCTTGCCTACCGTTCAGCTCACCTTGGTCGCCGGTCCATTCCATCGTCCATTCCAAGCTCGCCGGCCTATTCCGCCATCTCTATAGCCGAGCACACCGCCGTCCGTATTTCGAGCACACAACCGTCCACAATTCATCGCCGAACCCCTTTGAGCTTGCCGCCGCCTCCACAGTTTACAGCCGAGTCAATCGAGCTCTCATCACAGCCGAGTCCTCCACGCACAAGTCGCCATCATTTGAGACCGAGCCATCCTGCCGACCTCCGATTTCTTTGGTCTTTTCTCTCTCTCTCTCTCTCTAGCTCTCTGTTTTGGGTTGTGTTGGGTGAAAAATATCTTTTGGCAGAAAAGAAAATGTAAGAAGTGTGTAAGTTAAAACGACATAGTGTATTATAAGGGTAAACTGGTCTTTCAAAATTTTCGATACCGGAAGCTGATGTCATGGGGGTAAATTGCAACAAAATTATAGTTCAGGGGGGTTTCTTACAAATGATCAATAGTTCAAGGGGATAAATTGCAACAAAATTATAGTTCAGAAGTTTTTTTGTAGTTCAAGGAGTTTAATGCACTTTACCCTAATTAATATACCATACATTCATTTTTTCTTTTTGACATACTAATAAGCATGGACACAAACGTAGAATGCGAAAAAAATGATAGACAGATACAATTAATATAAGAAGAATCATAGGGGAATCGAAAAGATATGTCCGAATTAACATTGAATTTGTCGTGATTAGTTATACTTAACACAGTATTAAATAATTATTTATTAAAAATTATTTAAATAAATGAGATGAACAAAAACACGTCAGATTTAAAAATTATTTGACAAAATCATTCGTGACCGTTTTCCTTAATATAAATACTGGTTAATGAACCAAAATGGGAGACATATATGATTAATATAAATACTCGTTAATGAACCAAAAACAGACCCTCTCAACCATTTTACTGACTACGGGAAAGTCCACTATCTAGATTTCACCTATGGGTTACAAATATTTATTTATATATCTAATTATTTTTCTCATTTATACATCTATTGAGGAAGACAATTACAAAGCTTTAATTAATTTATAATTTTTATATCAAAGTTGTATAAATAAAAAAGATGAAGTTATTAGAATATGAAAAAAAAAGAAAAATATTATATTATATATGATATATATTTTGCTACTCTGTTATTATAAATATGTTTTTATTCATTATATACACGTGTTGAATGTCAAATTTTTTATTTTATTTTACAAAAATAAGAGGCAGAATACTGTCATATATGTTTATAATGTTATTTCAATCTATTATGTATTTATTTTATATAAAAACAAATAATGTAAGATATATTAATCGAGAATTGTGTCTGAAATATTGTGATAAAGGGTTCACGATGGTGTATATTTTCTATACATTGAAGAATTAAAAATATTCAATCAATAAATCCTCTCAACTATTTAGACTTTAAAATTATTTTTTCTTAAATATATAATTTTAAAATTATATAAATTGATATATAAAATGTGTCCGTATCTGTATTCGTGTTGGTGTCGTGTCGTCTTTCTTATCACACCGGCATCCCTCTGATTAATAAAAAAGCAAGTGCTAAACCAGTCGTCTAACAGCAGCCGTAATTCACACGACAGACTAATTCCTTCTTCATCATATCTTCCCTGAATTTACCTCTCCTGACGGACTCCCTCTCTCTTCCCAAACCTTCATAGTCGATCTCTGCTAATACCATTCTATGGGGACGATAGGTCACAATAATCTCAATGCCAAGCTCGTAAGTCTCTCTCTCTCACACACACACATATATGTATGTAATAGTTTTTCATACATATTTCAGTCTTTGACTTCCGACGATGATGTCTCAGGTACTCCTCGGCGACATGGGAGCTGGTAAATCAAGCCTCGTTTTGCGTTTCGTGAAGGGCCAATTCCTTGAATTCCAGGTATCGATCGGTGTCCATGTCCAATTCTTCCAATGAAGTCTATTATTAATTTTTTTTTTTCAGGGTTTTTTACTATCCCCAATTCCATTACTTTTTATAGATTCAGATTTGTGTTATATATATATATATATATATATATATGATAATTATCTATCAATGGTTGATATTGATGTGTCGGTGATCGTGATGACAGGAATCGACGATCGGAGCGGCGTTCTTCTCGCAGACGCTGGCCGTGAACGACGCCACCGTGAAGTTCGAGATCTGGGACACTGCCGGCCAAGAGAGGTACCATAGCTTGGCCCCTATGTACTACAGAGGTGCTGCTGCAGCTATTATTGTCTATGACATCACTAACACGGTTTGATCACTGCCCTTTTTGTATGTTTATGTATACATATGTAACTGACTTAAAGCTAGTGCCATATTCAATAGTTTGCTTATTTTTTGTTCACATTTTACGGTTCGATCACTTCCCTTTTTGTATGTATATGTCTACATGTATATGAATGTGTAACTGACTTAAAGCTAGTGCCATATTCAATAATTTGCTTATTTTTTGTTCACATTTTACGGTTCGATCACTTCCCTTTAGTATGTATATGTATACATTTATATTAATGTATGTATAATTGACTTAAAGCTACTGACATATTCATTAATTTGCTTATTTTTTGTTCACATTTTGGGGTTCGTTCAGTCTTGTCCTATATCATGAATATATGTGAAATGGGTAGCTGTAATTTCTGATTTTTAGTGAATAATTTCATGCAAATTCTATTGGGTACATTAGATTTAATGGGTGTTTTGAGAATTATGCCATTGTCTTTTTTCTTATTTTTTGTTTGACTGATTTTGTTTGTTTGTTTGTTTTTATTTTGAGTTGATTAGGATTCGTTCGAGCGGGCTAAGAAATGGGTGCAAGAACTTCAGAAGCAAGGTGCTTAGGATTGAACTTGTCTCTTAAATCAATTAGAATGTAACAATCAAAGTTGAAAGTCTACAATGCCCAGGGGGTACCGTACCCCCGGGATTCCCAGCCGTTGGATGTGGTGGTGGGACTCACCTGATGGATGATCCAACGGCTGAGAGACCCGGGGGGTACGGTACCCCTGGGGTATTGTAGACTTTCTCCAATCAAAGAATGGAAGATGTTTTTTTCTTTTCTTTCTGCATGTGGCGCTTTTCATTCCTGGGAAGATATATAAAAAAAATCAAAAAATTAAGTAAAGGAATCTGTTGTTGTAAACAATTTAATTTCAATAATTCTCTCCAAGAACCATGCAAAGCTTTAGTTTATTTATCTGTAATTTCCTTTTATGGATGCAATTTCATTTATTCCACAGACTTGACTATTACCTTCTTTTCTTCTGTATAGAAAAGCTTAAATATGGGTGGAATTTTTCTTAGTCGCATGTTACATTTGTGTGACCATCTTGTGCTTGTTGCAGGTAATCCTAACATAGTCATGGCACTTGCTGGCAACAAAGCTGATTTGGAAGATAAGAGGAAAGTGACAGCAGAAGTAAGTACAATTTTCCTGGTAGTTAGTGTCTTTGGTATGCATGCATATTGCATAGTTGGAGGATTATTTGGTAATTGATGATGCATATTGCATAGTTCTAGTTCTCCAGGAGCATGGAGAGAGAGAGAGAGGGATTGAATTATCATTGCTACTGCTGGATTCTAGGCTTTCCTTTCCTAAAACTACCTCAACTGGGTCTGACTGCTGACTATCCTTTTTGAGTCATAAAATGGCTGTAAATTGTAAACTGTTTAGGGTGGCAATTTCTAAATTGACACACCAGCTCAATCAAGAACTCTTCCAGTGGAGCGAGTTGGGGTTTACCACATAACAAATGTTTATACTGTAAGGTCAACCGGAACCTTTTGTGACTCACATGAACCCGACAACCTAATAGGTTTATAAACCTGTCTACCCAATCTACGCCCGCCTATTTTCAAACAGGTTTGGTTGATTATATTACGTTGCTTAACATGCTATATTAAATCCTCTGATCCATTGCAGCCCTTAGAACTGTCTAGAACTGTCAAGTCTCTAATTTGATTTGCTGATTTGATAGTTTGTAGAGTAGTTTGGAGAGAGCGACAGAGTAACTCAATAGTTCTTTGCAAGTACTGCAAATTCCACAAGGGTTTTAGGTAGTCCAGTTCAACTATTAGCTATCCGTTTCCCTTTTCTAAGGCTATCAAAATGCATTGATTAAGGGTAGATGGTTTGTTGTCAATATGCATTGATAAGAGCGGATGATTTAGGTTTAAATTCACTCACATTAATAATTATTAGATGACTCAGCCAACAGGTCCAAGACAATTGCAAGCAGGAGAAAGTTTAAAATGCTCTTTCAATCTTGGGGATAAGAGAGTCTAACTAAACTTAGTCACCTTGAGGTTCTTATTGCAGTATATAAAATTGTGATAATGTTTCTTTGCCTCCCAAATTATCAAAATATTTTTGTAATTGATTAATCATTATGTTTTAAATTTTCATTGCCATTTTGCTTTTGGAATCACTCTTTTGTTAAGTACATATATATTTTTTTACCAAGTTACCATGAGAAACAAGTACATATTAGTTCATTCTTACATGTTCAATTTAATCAGCTCTAAGAATTGTAATTTAATAGACATGTATGTAATGTGTATCTACTAAATCACTTTGCAGGAGGCACGTTTATATGCTGAAGAAAATGGTCTTTTTTTCAAGGAGACATCTGCCAAAACTGCTGTTAATGTCAATGATATTTTCTATGAAATAGGTGAGTTTCTAAATTTCTTTGCTGCTAAATGGACATGATTGTGTGATGTTGGCTATTGACCACCAAAATTTGGAACTTGACACGATGTGCTAATTTGCCACTTTTTATTACTTTTCCATTTTTTTTCCTTCCCTATATTTATAGATATTTTCTACTTAGATGAATATTTAATTTAATTTTTTATATTTACTAGTTTGCTTTTGTTGTTGCCATGATAGTGCTGGATATTGAGTTTTCCTCGAGTAGAGAAGATAATATCTTATGCAAAATTTTCTTCCCATCACAAAGGAGATTATTCTATGTTGTCATGCATTCAAGTTCGGTAGGAGATTTGTTTCACCAACAGCTATGGTTTTAAGTGTGTTAATAATACAATGATAGTTTTTATGGTTTGAAAATGTTGATCTGGCATCTCCTGGTCCATGACATCAGGTGATTTTATTGTTTAAGACAGTACCTCTTTATGGAAATAGGATTTCTTATTTGAGAATGTACCTTTAATTATGAAAAGGAGTGATAGCACTGACAGAGGTAAAAAGTTTTATTATTTTACTGTTGATGCTTCAAATGTATAACCGAAAAAAAAAAAAAATCTATCTCTTTCTCATGATCTTTCTCTCTATGTATGTGGGATAAAATTTCATTGGTTAAAAATCGATTCTACTTAGAAACAGAAGAAAAAAAAAAACTTCATGTCTCATTTGAGAACTTTGCTTACTGTGGTAGTTCTGTGGAATATCTGTGATGAAACCACGATCCTGTGATGGAAATAAACGTTATATGTTATGCATTCATTTGACGGGTACTACAAAATTTTGCATCTTTTATCACTTTTGAAATGACCTAGGTTTATTTTACATTAGAGTTTTCACATTGTGTATATGGGCTAGCTTTAGAGTGAAGTGTTTATTGAATACCTTAAGGCTCTTTAAATCAAGTTGTTTCATAAGTGTACGCCTTGCATATCATTTGTAGTACTCTCCTCCTAAATTTTATCATTTATATTTTATATATGTCTCTGTAATGAAATTTAGAAACTGGAAAGTTTGGCCTTTGCCGTGAACTTGTGAAGTGAGAGCCTTGCTCTTGCCATGCCTTGGAGGGTGAAACACATTAAATGTGCTTTTTGCCTTCGTAACTCTTTATGACACAATGATATAAAAATGTAAAAAACTGACACTATATGGAACATGCTTTTACAACTATGTCCACTTTTTTTAATTTCTATGATTTTAAATAATTATGAAATATTTTTAGCCATGAAGAAAATTACTACTTCAGCCATATTGTTTCAAGTTTTGATAAAGTTAACCATGTACAATGAAATTTCTGTATCACATATTGATGGAACTCTATTTCATGTATATGGTTTTGATTCATTGAGATAACTGCATTTTTAATTGATTGAGGGTAACACAGATTAAGTTTGCCCTAATCCCTTCTTTTCCTCTTCTTCTCTCTTTCGCTTCTCCTTTTTTTCCCTCTTTCTATCCTACATGGAACAAAGCCTGGGTGGAAACTCTATGTTCTGACAAATTATTTTCGTTGCTTGATTTTTCCCTGGTTCATACTTCAACAATTAAAGTGGGGGCATGAGCTTTTCCCCTCCTATGTCATTCTTCAACGGTTTAAAACGTATGGATTTTTCTCATTTTTCTGTTTTTGTGCTACAACAAAGTTACTAAACTGAAAACAGTGGTTGAGAAGTTCATATGAATAAATGAAATTATTAGCCGAGCAAATCTGATTGAATAGTTTGCTCTCAGCTTTTTGGTATGGTGGCTTTTAAGGGCCTGATTTTTAATGCAATGCCTGAACTTGACTGCAACCTTAGCTTAGCTAGTCTAGAGCTGACTTATTGTTTTCTATTTGGGTCGATGGTCCATCAATTTTTTTAGCTGATTGAGACAAACCCCATCTTTTTGGCTGGCAGGTGAGCTAAGTTGAGGTGCTGACCAGGTTTCAGAATTTTAAGTGGAAGAAATTTTTTAGATCACTTCCATTAATCTTCATGCTGCCTGCTGTTCCTGATAATATTGTGAACTTTGAAAAACTGTTGATTTCTTACTTTCTTCATACAAGGTCATAGCTAGGCATGGTGTTTAAGTTGTTTTAAACTTTATATGAATGGACTGATCATACTTGCAATATCTTTTTGTGCTCTTGATATGATGCCTTCTGTTCCTGATAATCTTGTGTAACTTTGAAAAACTGTTGATTTCTTACTTTCTTCATACAAGGTCATAGCTAGACATGATTTTAAGTTGTTTTAAACTTTATATGAATGGACTGATCATACTAACAATATCTTTTGTGTTCTTGATATGATTTCTATTAGTTTTTGTGATTCTTGTTTGGTTTGACACATTGTATCGTGCTTATAACCTGGAACTTTGGATCCTTGTTGTGGTGCAAACAGCAAAGAGGTTGCCTAGAGCTCAGCCTGCTCAAAATCCAGCAGGGATGGTTCTTGTGGACAGACCAGCAGAAGGATCCCGAGCTGCATCATGCTGTGCATAAGTAATCACTTATGCTATCTGTAAATGCTTATATCTATATCTGCATTCCCACTGCTTTTTAAAATTATTCCTTGCTAGTCATTGTGCTGTATGGTAGTTATTTTTCAAATTGAAGCAACTGAAAGTGATGCATATTAGGAAATACTGTTTTCAGCAACAGGATTATATATATATATAGATATCTTTGCATTGAAAACGGAAGTGCCAGAGGGGGCTCAACCAAGTACTTTGGAAGTATACAAAATCAGTCTAGACTCCCCCACATGCAAACTAATTACCAAACAATCTACAAAAATATTGATGTGTTCTACAAATTTCAAGACGTAGAGAAGAAAGATTGTCTATTATTATTTTTAAGTATAGACATTTTCTCCTCTGTTCCCTCAAAAATGGAGCAGAATGAAGTTGCCGGGATTTACGGATTATATGGTTGTTGAAGAGAGGTTTTGTGTTTCAACCAGGCACAGATATAGTATTATTTCTATACATCTATACAATTGTTTTACCTTCTGGAAAAGAATTTTTTTTTAGTATAGGCATATCTAAACCTCAGAAGATCTCCCTAGTTCCTCCATACACACTCCATAAAGCATAAAGAGGCGACCCGCCAAGCTTGTCAAACCTCGTTGCTTGTGCGCTTCCTACCTAACAAGCAAGAAGGCAAGAAGACTTTCCCTGAGGCAGGCAAAACTCATGTCACATCATCCAGAAAGAGCAACATGCACCATCATAATTCTTGTGTCGCTTCACAATGAAGATGATTGGTGGTATCTTCAACTTTCTTAGACATATGATACCAATTGTGAATCATCTTTTCCCTATTTCACCCATTATACCTGGTTATAATTGCAACCAAAGCAGTGGAAAGAACTCTCTATGGGAATTGGGCAACCACCTCCATATAGCACCCTGTGGAGAGAACTAATCCAAATCGACCAAACTTGTCAGAGATCTATCTCATTAAATCCTCCCTTCCCTCTCACACTTCTGTACAATATAATATCCAAGAAAGCGTCCATAGAATCTAACTGCTGCCAGGCCTCCCAATCCTGAAGGGCTTTGGAAAAGTTGGCTCCCAAACCACACTGCTCTCGGTAAATCTAACATAGTCTGGTATCAGGGCTGCTCTGCGAGACTGGAAAAACGATGAATGATGATTTTAGAATAACATCACCATACCATAGATCATGCCAGAATTCCCCACAACAAATCCAATGAACTTAGAGAAGTCCCTCCACACTTTTCTACTATTCTTCCAAAGGTCAACCCCATATGAGCAACTGACTCCTTGGATGTCTAAGCTTGTTCCATCCTCGGATATCCCACCACTTAATGAAGTGTTACTGCTATGAAAAAGAAAACGAGGAATTGTTGTTGCCAAACATGCAATCCCATGTGTTGCGTTCATGTATTTACTGATTTTCGTGCTAAACATTTTGTCTTTTTTGGTTATCCATTGCATTTTACAATAGTGTATGCACTATGCTTGTACCAATATGAAGTGTGAACAAGCAACCTCTTGTTTAGAACATGGGGAGACACGGCTCAATGAACACTTAAAACTCACAAGGTTCATGGTTGGGTTGGTTGGATAGGGTGCTGTGCTATATATAGTCTAGCTAGGAGTAGGTGTGTGAAGTAGGAAAAGAGTGGCATGAATACAACTAAATAATTGATGCCTTGCACCTCTCTGCTGACCTGATATCATAAATTTCTTTAAGATTTCCCAACAATGTTGTTGATGGACTAACCAAATGGAATGTTATATCAGTATGTTGTCTATAAATATAATTGCAATGTTGTGGCCCGAATTTGGTTTTGGGTTGCAACAGGCCTCTGGGGCTGCCCCCGAAGTAAATTTTTGACTCATTTTTTGCTTGTGGGTTGTGGACACTATTTAGTACTCTCTTGTAGCCCAATATGTAAGGGCGTTTAGGGTTTGGAGTGGGATATTGAGAGATTGAAAATTGTAGAGAGTGAGAGGAAGAGTTAGGGTTTGGGGGTTAAAACTTGTGATCTTCACATTTTCGCATAGTGAATTCCTTCTCCGGATCTTCACCGTGGACGTAGGCTTTGCCAAACCACGTAAAATCTTTGAATTGTGAAGATCCGGAGAAGATCCACACCTACTTTTACTTATTGAACTGTCTGAAGCGTGGTCCGCCGATGCGGTGTAACGGAAGCGGGCCCGTACCGTAACAAATTCACAGTTGCTTATACTTACCTCTCTGAGAAAGGGGCCTAACAATTTGAAAAATTCCTAGGTCTGAAAGCTTGAAAAAATAACTATGAACTATTCTTGTAGATCTACGAAGAAATGACATGTTTAATTTAAATCTAAACAAATAAATAAATAAAAAGCAAAAAATGTTGAAACTCACTGATAATTTCAAACTTTGGAAGTCCAACATTCAATCTTTGAGCTTAAATCTGAAGTTTTTGATGCAAGATTCGGCCTTTGGAAGGTAGAAGACAAAGCCACTTGAAACACCACTTCCCGTCCGACTTGCGTGCGTTCAGCATGCCACCGACGTTCATCCTGAGCGAGGATCGAACTCTTCATGAGATTCATAGTTGCGTTACTTATAGCTTGTTTTTGGAGTGAAAAAAGTGTAGTATAAAATTTTCTGCTGTTGTTTTTAATACAGGAAAGTGCTTGTGCTCACAAGTAATTCTTAAATTCTATGTATCTTCTTCCTGCATGGGGTTGTAATATGCCGGATACTGGATCTTGTGCAGGAATTTTCCCCCAGCCGCTATAAACAGCAGGAGTTGAAGTGCGGAGAACTCGTGGAAATCAGCAGATTCTTTGTCCAGGAAATTTTCGATGGGTCATCCGCGGTTACTTTTCCCCGTTTGATAATTAATTGCTGAAATCATGTAAATGGTTATGCTTTCTGTAGATGGATTAACTGGATTGATATATAAAAGCCTTGTGATAATTTCATTATCATTCATGTATGGAATTGTAAACGCTTGACCTTATTGAATTTACACAAGATTTCACCCGCCATCTCTCTCTCTAAAACTGATCTTTACACGCAAGTTGATATATCATGAAATGAGCTTGTTGGAGCAGTTTCAGAACATTTTCAGCTGATGTATTTTTTGGACTGTTTTCTTGGACAAAAATCACAATAGACAAAACAAAACGAAACAAATGAACTTGAGAGGGGTGTGTGTGTGTTTTCTCAATCCTGGCAAATTACACAAGCACCCGCTTTTGAGAATTTGAACCGTCGATCTTGTCTTGATGCTCGCCCTTTTGAGAACTTGAACCGTCGTTCTTGTCTTGTTGCTCGCCCTTTTGAGAACTTGAACCGTCGTTCTTGTCTTGATGCTTCCATTTTGTGTCGTTCTTGTCTTGATGCTTCCATTTTGTGTCTTTGGTAGGAAAATGTCATAAAGATACTGTATTGATGAGCTTCCAATAGATGGACTGTTCACCTTCCTCTTGCCATAAAGGTACAGTACTGATGAGCTTCCAATAAATGGACTGTTCACCTTCCTCTTGCCATAAAGGTACAGTATTGATGAGCTTCCAATAAATGGACTGTTCACCTTCCTCTTTGTATTTTAAATTCAGTAAAGATTAACAATGAATTAAGTAGTACCATACACGTACGGAGATAAGCAATAAATTATGTAGTACCATGTAAGTATGCATAATATATATATATATATATATATATATATGTTTGTTTGTGTTCATATTTGTTTTCTTCATGAATCTAGGGTTGGAATCTTCCCGTTTTAATATGTGCCTTGCTTCCTCGATAGGTGGCCTCACAGTTTTGGACATGAAGTTGAACATTTTATTAGGGTTTTCATACTCAAATGAGTTTGCAGATGTAATTACTAATGGCAAAGATGCGAAATTGAAGGAAGAGTTTATACATTACAAACAACTCAAAACAACATAAACGTGTGCTAACCGAATAATGCTACCAAGCCTCATTAGGTCGACCTTATACTAATTGTTATGAACTCTTTATCTAATTTTGTCGTGATCATCTACAAATACTGAGACTTAAAAAAATTTATATGGAGATTATGCTATCAAATTTTCATAAATTACATGAATCCGTAAAACTTTTATATAATCTTTCTTTTGACTTTATTTGATCAAATTAAACTATCATTTTTGACAAACGTCTATTATAATTTTATATGAATTTATTTATTTATTTTTTAGAGTGAGATCATTTTAGTATTATGTGGTGATATAATTTTTGAGCTATTTTTTATGTTCAAAATTTATTATTATCATCGATGATAGTGGTGTCAGGTCTTTTAGAACACTATTAATTCACCATAAGACGCATATAGTTCCCTTTGCTTCATATGCATCTCATGATAATAAAAATTATAACACTATTATATGTTGGTCACAGTTGTGATATTTTTTAAGTAGCAATTGTAACACTATTATATATGTTGGTGACAATTGTTATATTTTTTAAGTTCCCATATGACAGTTAATTTAATCATCATTGTCTTAATTAATGGTTGTTAAAATCTCTAAGTCAGTTGGTTCATTATTAATGTGTTTGTCGATATGGATATTAATCTCAGCCTCCTTGAGAAGGTTCTCAATTCTCTTTCCACGTGCACTTTTTCTATACATTTCAATATGTTTTCTATAAACACTATCAATTCATAATTTTTTTTTTTGTTTTGTTTCGTTTTTGTTTTTGTTTTTGTTTTTTTTTGTTTTTGTTTTTTTTTGGCTTTTTTTTTTTTTTTTTTTTTTTTTTTTTTTTTTTTGTCAACATATTTTTGACTTCCGTGAAATAAGTGCATATATGTGGAAGGAGATGTATAATTGTTTAAAACAATATTTGTTTTGATATTAATTGTTAACATATCATCCTCGAGAATTTGGGAGTCCTGTAACAAAAGGAAGTACGAACACTCCACCTAAAGTTGTCGTTGTGGTGTTGAATACTTCTGGAATATGATAAGGACACGTTTTGAATGCACTTTTAGGATTTTGTAATTATTTTTATTACAAGAATGAAATTCAGTACAATTTAAAATATATTATGAACTAATATGAAAAATAATATAACATTTAAAATAACAAAAATAACAAACATTTAATTCTAAACTCCAAATTACTACTTTTATTCAAAATGAATAAAAATAATTATTTTTCTATATATAATTAAATATTATATTGTTATTTTTTTGACCTATTCATATCTTATTTGTGTTCTATTTTTTTGAGATTTGTCGCCGTGCCTGTATCGTATTTATATTCCGTGTCGGTGAACAAAACCAATCCAAAATTTGTTATGAAAAAAATAAATAAATAAAAAGAACTCAATTATTATATGTTGGCGACAGTTGTGTTATATTATGTTTTAGTATATTGATTTAGTTTAATGACAAAAACATTGAATTGTCTAAGTATGAGAATGCAATAATTTTTTAATTTTTATTTTAAATCAAGTTTAGAATTGACTTGACATGATATGCAAAAAGAACAAGTTGTTGGTAATTGATTGGGTAATTTACAAATCTACTAGTAAAATATCAAAAAGCATAAACTTTGATATGAAGTTTGACCCCAAAAAAAGATTGGTCCAAAAAAGCTTTATCCACTTATGAGATAAAAAGATTGGAAGAAAGTGAAAATCATCAAACAAGAAAAGACTTGCAAAAGTGAATTTTGTTTTTTTTACCCTCTTGGTAAGAGAAATTATTTTTATTATTTTGGATTCAATTATATGATTTTTAACAAAAAAATGGCTTATTTTTCTAATCCATCTTTGATTGAATTTATCAATCCAATGATATAACAATTAGATTAATGATGACCAATTCTAATGCCAAAGAGAGAAATAATAAAAATAGTCATCAAGAAATAATCACAAAGCATTTCATGTATGGAGCCAATTTTTTTGTTTTGTTTTGTTTTGTTTTTTTTTTTTAAAAAAACAAAAGCTTGTGGTCACCCAACTGAACCTAGGGTTCTTGAATGCCCAACTAGAAATAACAATTGTAAGTGGAAATAGGACACACACATTATTCATGAGTGACTTTTATTATTGGAATCACTTTGAAATATCGAATGATTTTTGTACGATTTAAAGTGATAAGTACACTGCATCGAGAATGCGTCTACATTGAGCATGCGCCGTGTACAAAATATTGATGTAAATACTAACATCTTTTCATCATTGTTGTATTACATTATTGTTTTCGTAGTGTTGTGTGGTGTTATGTACTCGTTTTTATTTATTTTTTAATTATTTAAAATTACAAACTAAAATACAGTACACATTGTGTGGTGGATCCAGGGTTGTCCATCAATGCCAATTAGTGGACCAGACATGGGTGACCATACCTTCTAATATGAGGACACCTGCCACTAAATTAGAGACTGAGAGGGGCCTGACCTCCCCTATACTTTATTTGCGTTGGACCTCTAGTTGCCCTTTCCTAGGCATTGTTTTGGTATCACTTGCACTACTTTCACGTGCTTACAAGCTTTATACTAGCAGTAGCATTTTATATTTGGAGTATGATTTAAAAGTTAAATCAAGAAAATTAAGTTGGTTAACAAAGTATATATTGTGTGAAATTTAAAATCTTTATCATAAGGCATGTGTGCTAATAATTTACTGATCTAAGAACGTAAATGCAAAATAGGGTAACATAATCAACGTAAAACAATAATATATATATATATATATATATATATATATATATATATATATATATATATATAAAAGAAAGGACATGTTGATTCTTTTATGTTTTATCCACACCTTCTTTAACAATTTAAGTTTATGTTTTAAGTTTTGGATCATTTAGTTGTTAGCACATATATATATATATATATATATATATATATATGTATGTATATGTATGTATGTATAGTTGGAGAGACTTTCTCAACGGACATATATATAGCATAGCATAAAGATCGTGACATTTAAGTTCTGAATTTTCGTCCAACTATAATAATTTTCACAACCAACCAATATATATAGTCTTTTTCCAACTATAAATTTTATTGGATCTTCTTCCAACTATAATAATTTCTAATTTTCACAACCAACCAATATACGGAGTTGTCTTCTTCGAACTATAAATTTTATGGAGTCCCTCCCAACCAAGAAAAAAAAATATAAAAAATAAACTTTTAATGAAAAATGATTAATTGATTTATTTGTGCCATGTAAAGGGACATGACTTATGGGCAGAAAAAGAAATTAGTTTCATTATGCAGCCTTTTAAAAAGCAAAGACAAATGCAAGTGAATAATGGGCACTTCCATGCGATGAAAGCCTGAGATATTTATGATGACAGAGATGGGAGAAGAACTGTCACAATGCCCTACTCCAATCAATTTTCCTTTTGAATGTTTGTTGTACAATTATGAATTGAAGATGATGCACATAATAGTAAATGTATATACCAATAATACATCTATATCTAATATCTATACATATATATGTATATACCAATAATACATCTATATCTAATATCTATACATATATACATATATATGTATAGATATTAGATATAGATGTATTATTGGTATATACATTTACTATTATGTGCATCGTCTTCAATTCATAATTGTACAACAAACATTCAAAAGGAAAATTATATATGTGTGTGTGTGTGTTGGAAGGAATTGCATTCATTTTGAATACAAATGCTCCGGACAATTCAATTTCACGAGTCTGAATTTTCTACTGTAAAATATATGTGTTATAATCATAGAGTTACTATTATTCACATGATCAATACTCTAATACATGATTCATATGTATGAGTGATGAGGGCCGACTGATGCGACACATGCACATGATCCACTCACATTTGTATGCATGTATATGATATTGTCTTATGAAGGAATTACATTCAGTTTGAGTACCATTACTCGAACAAACTCAATTCGATGAGTCAGGATATTCTACGGTACAATACACTACATGTGTTATAATCAGATAGTGAAATCAGAATGTCAATATCGCTTACACGTGTGATTGATACAGTACATACTGATGATGCATACGTATGAGTGATGATAGTTGAACGATGCGATACATACATGTTATAATAAGATAGTGATATTAGATTGTTAATATCGTGCACACGTGATATATGTATGGATATTAGATATAGATGTATCATTGGTATATACATTTACTATTATGTGCCTCATCTTCAATTCATAATTGTACAACAAACATTCAAAAGGAAAATTATATATATATATGTGTGTGTGTGTGTGTGTGTTGGAAGGAATTGCATTCATTTTGAATACAAATGCTCCGGACAATTCAATTTCACGAGTCTGAATTTTCTACTGTAAAATATATGTGTTATAATCATAGAGTTACTATTATTCACATGATCAATAGTACTATAATACATGATTCATATGTATGAGTGATGAGGGCCGACTGATGCGACACATGCACATGATCCACTCACATTTGTATGCATGTATATGATATTGTCTTATGTAGGAATTGCATTCTGTTTGAGTACCATTACTCGAACAAACTCAATTCGATGAGTCAGGATATTCTACGGTACGATACACTACATGTATTATAATCAGATAGTGATATCAGAATGTCAATATCGCTTACACGTGTGATTGATACAATACGTATTGATGATGCGTATGTATAAGTGATGATAGTTGAATGATGCGATACATACATGTTGTAATAAGATGGTGATATCAGATTTTGCAAATATCGTGCACACGTGTGATTGATACAGTACATATTGATGAAACATATGTATGAGCGATGACAGCTAGCTGAATGATGTGATACATATATGTTCTAATCAGATAGTGATATTAGATTGTTAATATCGCTCACACATGTGATTGATATAATACATATTGATGATGCATATGTATGAACGATGATAGTTGAACGATGTGATATATATATATATATATATATATATATATATATGTTGTAATCAGATAGTAATATCATACTGTTAATGTCGCTCACAAGTGTGGTTGGTATAGTACATAATGATGATTCGTATGTATAAGCGATGACAGCTATAAAGGACGCGATACACGCACATGATACACACAACAATTCAGATGCAGATAGTGAGTGAGACTGTTCCTAGAAAACACATGAATGGTGCTCTGTGGGACATGGTGGCTCATAATGTAAGGGGCGTTGATGATATATCCTTTCACCATCACTATTTGTTTGGTTTTTGTTTTTTGTTTTTTGTTTTTTGTTTTTTGTTTTTTGTGTTTCCATTTTGGTAATTGTGGGTGCCAATAATTTCTCAAAATGGGTCACTAACTTTTGCAAACTATGATAAAGATCACACACAAGGGGTGGTGATAGTGGTTGATGCCACACTCATGCTTCAAGGTCAACTGTCTCTCATTGGAGGCTCATTGCTCTTTTTCTCCATTGGATTTTTTTTGTTGGTGATGTGAAGGTAGCCAAAAACCCTATACAAGGCTTTATCAAGATTAGGGTTGTTGTTTTTATTATTATTATATATTACAACATCGTTTATTTAATACACTGTCAATATATCTCAATAAAAATCATAAGATTTATTATTGTTTCTATTAATATTATCTCAATAAATACAGTAAAATTTATTATTATATGAACTAATATGGCTGAGTGTATTGAAATCATTGCATTCGGAACATGGTAAGGTAGTTCTTTGATGGGGAGTGACTCATTTGATCGTTGCGATGGTTGTTTTTGTAATATTTTTATCCATTGTTTTGGAATATCGTAATTCTTCTATTTTAGTGGATGGAATTTCAGTGAATTGGATCCACAAAAAAATTGACGCAATTTAGAGGTGGAATTTGTGTGAGATTTATGAGTGATTGCACACATTTCATCGCAAATCATTGCATTCTGTAATGGTTGCGAAGGTATTAGATATAAGACTGCTAGTCATATTCACCCTAAGTTGTGACTAATGATAGAATGATTCTTCTTATATTTACTACGGAAATATTTTCACCAGACTTACCCTAAAAATAAATGAAGTATATATACCACGGAGTATTAAAGAGTGGAAATATAAAACAATATTCTGATGGATCAAATTGTTGAAATTTCAGAAATTGACATGGTTTTGAGAAGAATTTCTCAACTGTTAGCAACATGAATATGAACCATTTAAAATTCATTGCAACATCTCCGATTGTATATATGGCAATTCGATCATGTCCTATTTTGCATCCACTCGTCATGGAAAAAGTCCATCTTGTTCAACTCCTATCATGGAGCCATGTCAATGGTGTTTAGGTTATATCTATATATGTACGTATATATGTTGTATATATATGTATATGTATCTCTCATGACGTCTGCTTTGCAAATATATATGACTATATTAACACCCACAACTGCATGTATATAAATTTTATTCATTAGCTTCACACAAATATGCCTTGTATCATGCGACTCATTAAATTACTAATAACAATAAACAATGTGACAATAACTCGATCACTTGTGCAAGAGACCCTTCATTTTCATGAATTGAAAATTGTTTATCTTCAGTCACTAGAACTACTTTTGAACAATCTAATAAGTTTCTTGGGTATATGATCCTGAATCAGCCCAAAACTATGTAGTTGACCTGTTATATTCAATTAAACAATCCATTCAAATATATAATTAATTTTGATATAAAAATTATTAATCAAGTACTCAAAAACAAAATCACTTTCATACCCCAAAATGCTTAATTACTCTGATAATCTCTGTACAATCTTATTATAACCACTATTTATAGATAATATTTGTTTATGTAATTTTCTTAATTTCAAAGACGAGACAGAGCGAGAATTTGTTCATGAGGCCGAGACTTGTACAACGACGGTTGTTCCGAGACCACTAGAGTTTTGGCCAAAGCCCTCAATTGGAATTTTTGAATTTTGCCCGTTGAAGTCTTGGGCAACTCCTCCAGAAACTGCACCTTCTTTGGCACCATGAAGCCGGGCAGGTTTTTCCGGCAATGGGCGAGGATATCGTCTTCCGTCACGTTTATGGTGGCTCCGGCAGAGTTCTTTTTGGCGGTGACGAAAGCGCAAGGGCTCTCCCCCCACCGTGGATGCGGCATTGCCACCACCGCGGCCTCCAGTACTCGGGGGTGTCTGTATAACACGGACTCCAACTCTACACTGCTAATATTTTCGCCTCCAGAAATGATCACATCCTTGGACCTGTCTTTGATTTCTAGGTATCCGTCGGGGTGGATCACCCCAACATCTCCGGTGGCAAACCAACCTTGGTGAAATGATTTCGAGGTAGTCTTTTCATCTTTCAGGTACCCTTTCATAATGCTACTACCTCGGAGCACGATTTCCCCCAATGTTTTCCCGTCACGTGGCACGCTCGCCATTGTTTTCAAGTCCTTCACATCAACGTCAGCCAGTGTCAGTATGCTGACGCCCTGCCGAGCTTTCAGCTTTGCCCGGTCCTCCTGAGGTAGGTGGTTCCACTTGGCCTGCCACTCGCACACGAGGGCGGGTCCCGTCGCCTCGGTCAGGCCATACGCGTGCACGACATGAAATCCGAGGCGCTCGATCTTTTCGAGTAGTGGAGCGGGGGGCGGTGCTCCCCCGGTGAGTATCTGGACGGGGGAGGTTACGTCCGCACGCTCGTGGGGCCTGGCCTCTAATAGGATGTTAAAGACTATGGGTGCACAACACATGTGTGTCACCTTGTGAAGTGCAATGTTCATGAACATTTCGTGCGCGGTCGTGTTGCGTATGCACACGTTGGTGCCGCCTCGAGCCGCCACTCCCCAAGTGAATGTCCACCCATTGCAATGGAACATGGGTAGGGACCATAAGTACACTGGCTCACTCCCCATTTCCCAACCCAAGATCAGACTCAGTGTGCTTAGGTATGCACCCCTGTGGCTGTAGACAACCCCCTTTGGCTCCGATGTCGTCCCGGACGTGTAATTAAGGGCGATCGGGTCCCACTCGTCCTCAATGTCACCCACCACGTACCCCGGATTGCCGGAGAGGACGAGCTGCTCGTATTCCAGCTCGCCAAGCCGGACACCGGTGGGGGTGTCGACGTCATCTATGACTATGACCAGCGGGATGGATGACTCTGCTGTCACGGAGGAGTCTTGCAAGTCAGCCATTAGTAGCCGGAGAGCCTCGCTTGCTAGCGGCACGTACTGGTAGTCCACGAAGAAAACCTTGGCCTCGGAGTGGCGGAGAATGGTGGCTATGTTTCTAGCATCAAGCCTTGTGTTGATTGCGTTCAACACTGCCCCTGCCATGGGCACTGCAAAATGCATCTCATACATTGCTGGAATATTTGGAGCCAACACTGATATCTGGGTAACCAAATTAAAAAAATCATATAAATAATTCGTCACAATTTGTCCATAAATAGGCACAAAGTACCAAAATATATAATTACATATATCATTAATCTAAATCTTATATCCCGTACAAAAGTATCGTAACCGTTTATAACGGATGTTGTGATGCAACACTGGACGACTGAGATCATTCACACGTGTAGAGTCGAATGATTTGAGTGATATAGCATCATGTTATTATAGTTGAGGATTCAAGCTCGGAAATACTTACCACGTTGTTCTTGACTATATTCAAGGCCCGGAGGGAGGATGCGAGGCGGCAGCAACGCTCGTACGTTTGCCGCCACGTGAAGCGTGTTCCGGCATAGATTATGGAGCTGCGGTCGGCGTAGACCGCAGAGGCTCTCTTGAGGAAGGTAATAGGAGTGAGAGGGACATAATTTGCTTCACATTTGGGTAGTTTCTCCATGATGGGCAGGAATTTTCTGTGGTGCTTTGGCTATTGAGAAGTGGAAGGACAATGTTTTAGAGAGAGAAAGAGAGGGGAGAGAGAGAGTGTGTGTGTGTGTGTGTGGGGTGGTTGGAGGGTTGTCTTGATTGATGTATGGAGGAGGGGTTATATATATAGGGAACTGGGGGAAAATGCAGTGTATTTAGGAAGGGAAAGGACGATGGAAAATGGGGAGAAATGGGAGGGAAGTAGCTTAGCTAGGAGGTGCTTGGGTGGAAGTTTATAGGTAAATTACTGGGATACTACACAAACTATGAAAATTTTGAACATAAAGACTTGGACCTGAAATATTTGAAATATAAAGTTATTTGTGGTTTTCACGTTTTGGTGGGCGGCTTGACTTGAGTCTTCACCATTTCACCATATCTTATTGCCAATTGCTTCCAAGTTCCAACCATCAGATTGGTGGTTAATTTGTTATAGGTGTTTGGATCCTATGCGGTAGATAGGATGTGTGTACGGTAACAGACGAATATTAAAATTTATATCGTGCCGGATGAATCTCAATTCATATGTGTGTGAATGTCGTGTGTCGCTTTGAACGGATCTTAACTCACACACCTATAAGTTATTATGCGTGTATTACATCGAACGAATCTCAACTCATATACATATAAACGAACAAATCTCAACTCATACACATATGAACGTTCACACGTGCTACTGCTAGAATTCGTTGCAATGATCATAGTTTGTGTAAACTGTATTAAAACATTTTTAAGAAAATGGAAATTTTCCCCACACTGCAGCCTGCAAGCATAAACAAGAAGGATATTAATAAGAATTGCAAGTGTATTTACTATATTTGCCCTTGAAATACCCCTAAAAATACAAAGGAATAAACTATAAAAGCAATGTTCTCTGCATTCCTAACCAACATTTATTATATATATATATATATATATATATCAATTGATGTAATAGTTGTGAGTATATATATAGATACATAAATACAAATATTGTAAAAAAGAGAGTATATTCCTAGCAGGGAACCTCTTGGAGTACGACAACACCCATGGTACCTAATGGTGAAATAATTGCATACCAATTAATAGGAACAGTAATATTTTCTATAAACAAAGAGAATGATGAATTTGTAGATTTTAGTTAAGAATTGTTTAAAAAAAATATATAAATTTTAAAAATGGTATAAACCCCAAAATTATTTTTTTTATTTTTAGTATTATGGCCTTGCAGTTGAGTGGGACCATCTCAATCCAATGACTTATAAGAACCACTCTTTTTTCTTGTAGATATACATATTCCTAGAACAGACATCTATTATTGTCAGTCACAACATTATTTTGAATCCTCACTCTTCATATGAGAAAAAAGACGAAATATTATTTTGTCAGCATTTGGAACATCAGAAGAATTAAGTTATATTGACAACATATTCAATGATGTGGTTTAACTGTTCACTTCACTGACAAAAGGAAATCAACAAATTATATAGTCCAGTAGCTAGCGCGCGCGCACACACTGCCAAAAAAAAAAACGTACACTCTAACACCCCACTTTGATACCACTTTGATATTTAGATTCAAGAAATACGACATCTCAAAATATATATACATAACTCATACATAATAACATATATATATATATATATGTTGGGAAGGTTATATGCATTCATATTATACTATACATAGGCACACATGATGGGTAATTGGGTATCATTATTGGCGCTCCAAAAAGAGATGCTAGTGCACCATTCTTAGTAGATGGATATTTTGCAACAATTTAATGATAAAAAAAGTTTTAGTGTAATTTAGCCTTGTAATTATTATTATTTTGAGTATTAGTATCATTATGTATCAGAACAAATAAAAAAATAAAAAGCAACTGCCAAAAGCTTTGAAATTAATTGCCACATGCAAAATTATTTCTAGGTTACAACAACAAACTTGATGTCAATTACACCTCTAAGTAAAATAGTAATAGATCATTACTCTCACTGTCTCACTTTAATTGTCGCCTTCGAAAAATGTGACTCATAAGGGTGAGTCACATTTTTTGAAAGCGACAATTAAAGTTGGACGGAGATAGTATTAATTAAGGTCAGACACCAGCACGCGGGGACACGTGTTCCTCGTGTTTTAGGTGCAAAACTAAAACCAATATTTTTTGGGTAATTTTGACTCGGAAGCTTAAACATTTTCCATAATCTTTTTCTTAGTTCCCAATCACCAAAGATTATGACATATGGGAACGTGTAATGCATGGTTATTTTTGTATTTGGGAATCCTAATCCTAGATTGGATATTGAAGATGCCCCTAGATCATAAATGTTCTATAATTTGAGTTGAATTTAAACAATATCGTTGGCTCGTGAACGATCATAAATGTTCGACATTTACATAGTAAACATCAACTGAAAACATACCTAATTAGAACCGTTAATTTATCGTTACCAAAAAAACAAACAAGAATTCGTCTTTATATGCCATGGATGGGAAATGTAGCTGATGGATGTTGGTTGGTAGTTAGACAAGATGAGATTTTCAAAGAACCAAGAATCTTAGTGAAGATGAACAATTTTGGACATAGTGACTTGTGTTTAGCATGGAGCCTCAATTCTAGTTGTTTCTTACATCTCTGTCTACCACATGAATTTTTGATATGTGTGTGGCAAAACACTTTTTTCGCATTCGCATTATAGTCTGAGCATTTATCAGACGACATGATTCATCAAAAACGATATATCTAAGTTTGTTGAAATGTAATTTTATAGACACAAGTCTTTATTAGAAAGTGAGTGATATCAAGTCACATAGTGATATGTCACATGATATATATTATTAACTAAACATTATTTGTCATATAAGTAAAACGTATTTATTGTAAGATATATATTATCAACTAATTATTGCTTGTCATATAAGTAAAATGTATCTATTTTAAATGATTTGTATGTGTTGGTGTTTAATTAGTCGATAATTAATTGGCAGGGATTTCATTCTTTTAGACAATGCGAGGGAAGACTATTGAAGATTTTTTTGAAAGAACTGTTTCATGATTGTAATATATATATATTTCGAACTTTAAGTCGGGATGCTCACACAAGGCCGGTAAAACATCAACTCAATTCGGTGTATATGATAAAGGCTTTTTTAGATTTATTTTGTTTGTTTTGTAAGTAGGAGGAAAATTGGTTGTTGAGAAGATCTGAAAGAAGGGATAAACGTTTTCTGATAAAAGATGATAGATAAGTCATTCATGGATGGGAGAGAAACAGAGTTGTTAGAAAATTGTAAAATTATAATATTACCCTTCATAATTATTAGATAAACTTAATATTAACAATCGCTCTTTCATTCTCTCCAAATAAACAAAGTAAAACGTTAGCTAATTTCTTTCTACCCATCTCATCTTTTTTTCTGTCCATCCAATTTTCATCCAACCAAATATAACCTTAGTGTCTTACCTTTTAATTATTTAGGAATGTTGCGGCTTGTCATAAGCCAATAATGTGGTCAGACATGCATTTCCCAACCAAGTTTGTTTTGTGAATGGGTAACACAACTGAGAAGGGATCATGTTGGAGTGATGCAACATTTTCTATGGTTTTTGTTTCTTTATTTGTGTATATATATATATATATATATATATATATATATATTTCTAGTTATAATTCTAACATGGGCAGTTAGTGTACCTTCTCACATGACACATTATTTTAATTAATTATTATTATTATTATTTTTATTATTTTTATTTTTTTAAGTTAGTATTTACACACGTGCTTTCACTGAAACTTGAACTTTGACTTTTCTGTAAGAGGTAAAGGGTTGATACTGTTAAGCCACTGGCCTATTAATTAATTTTTAATTTAATTTATTTTTTTTTGACAATTTTATTAATACAAAATATATTTAAATTCATAACTTGACAATGTGACCGCTTTTCCTTCTTTTGCAATTAGCTTTTTCTTCTTTTGCAATTAGTTTCGCTTCAACGTCCGGCTGCTTTAGCTAATTGTCCTAACTCAATAAATTTTGAGAATTAATTTACACTTAGAAACATGAATGATGGTAAAAATGCTATTATCTATGTTTACAAGTAAAAAATTGATAATAAAAGAACAAAACATATCAATTTGAAAAAAAAAAAAAAAAAAATCAATTTGAAAGTTGATCCAATGAATAAAAACGAATTTTCAAAAAAATAATATAGAAAGAAAAGTAATAATAATAAAAATAAATCGGAGACGGCTGATCAAGATTCAAGAGGCACGATGGGATCTTTTAACAAAAAAAGAAAAAGAAAAGAGGCACGATGAGATGAAGGAAATAAACAGCACATATAAAATTAGGACTTCGCTGGAAAGCCTAGCCTATATAGATATAGCCTAAAGGCTATAACCATCTCATCATCAACCATCCCCCCAAAAAAGTGTAAATATAAATAGGCTCAAATTAACAAAAATAATAGGTCTAAATTAGACAAAATAATAGGTACAATATTTGTACAACACTGTGCTGGTGCATTATTAAAAACTGACCAGGCAACCAAATCATAGCCAAAAAAACTCTGCAGGTTTTTACTAGGAGGATGATTCTTCCTCCCTTCTTCGTATTTCGATGATAACGTGTAAAATGCATAGAGTGCTCCCGGAACCACGAATTAAAGAGGTATCGTAGGGTTGTAGGGTTGGAGCCACTCGATTTGGATTTCGTGTTGCATAGTATCATGTGTAGAATCCCTCCATACACAGGAGGGATCCTGGTATTTTTTTTATTAATTTACGATGATGATGTTAGATTTTTTAAAATACTTAATAATTCACCACCAAACGCATGCAGTCCTCTAACTCATTCCCGATGTAACAGGCCATTATCGAAAAATTCTCTAGGATCCTTTTGATTCTTTAAGCAATTTTCACATTTAATCCATCAAAAGTTGAATCCACTTTATTACAACTAACCAAGTGTTGGACTTTAGTTTCATAATACTAATATATGATTAGTGGTTGTATATCTTTTGACTTTATTTATAATACATCTTCAATGGTTACAATTATTATTATTTTTGTAACTAATTGTTATAAAATTTTATACAAGAAAATCTGAATTATCCAAATATTATACCACAATGCTTTGCAGGTTTTGCTAGAGCAATGATTCTTCGTATTTGATTCATTTGATTCCTTAAGCAATTTTCACATTTAAAGCATCAAAAGTTCAACAAAGTTTATTATAATTAACCAAGATTTGGACTTTAGGGTCATAACATTATTTGGA